ATCATTTGTGGGCACGCCACTGTCTGAGAAGCACTTGGTCTCACCCCAACCCCGTTCCTTTCTCTCTGTTGTCAAAGAGAGAACCTTTTACTCTTTTGTGATCTAGTGCTTTAGAGCTCGGAAATTGATCCCCAGGGCTTGAGATGAGAGTCCCTGATGCCTTTTATGCTGAAAAAGAGACTCACCTGGGTTTTCTAACCTCTTCCTGAATTAACCACAGAAGTAATTCCCCATGGCACTGCAGCTGCTGTCTCTCCCCCAGGGCCTGGCAGAAAGGAAAAAAAAAAAAAAATCCCAGGTTGGCACGCTTGACATTTCTCAATGTGAAGTTTTTTTTTTTTGTTGTTCCTGTGCTTTCCTAGTTAGGAGATTTATTTATTTATTTATTTTTTGGTCCTTTTGATGACTTTGCCTTTCTTGCTCCCTTATCCTCTGAAGGCAGGGTGGATTTAATTCTCATTTGCATCAGAGCTGGATCTCTTCTTGGCCTTTTGGCTAAGATCAAGTGTAGCATCAGATCTGGTTCATAAATCAGCCACTCAACATCACTTTTCTCTCTCTCAGCCTTCTGGTGCACTTGAAATGTGTTTCTGATTTCTTTTAAAAGGGATCTCACTCCTTGTTCAGCTCTTATATTTCAAAACAAGTTATATCATAGCAGAGTTTTAAAACAGACACATAAAATGACTCATCCTTAGGAAAACTTTCAAATTTATATGCTATACAGTTGGACAGAGTTGTGATTTGTATTACGTCTTGAATATATGCCTTTCAACCTTTACTGCAGAGAAGAACAGCTGCTGTTTTACTGGACTGGTATTAAGTATCATGTTCTCTTTCGCCCGTGCTTGGACTGAGACAGGTAAGTCATAAAAGCACGTACACAGGGAATCCTAGGGCCAGGTTGTATTGAAGGCAAAAAACATTTAATAACATCATATGAAACAACTTAAAATCTCTATTTAATAAATTGTGTCCTTTTACTGTGTATCTCTTTTCTTTTTTTAAAATAATTTTGCAGTGCTAGAGATTGAACTCGGGGCCTTGGGCATGCTAGGCAAGCGCTCTACCACTGAGCTACAGCCCCAGCCTGTGTTCATCTTTTAAGTCATGTCACAGAGAAAAGAGAATGGAGGTTTGTGGCTTTCATATGCTAAAGGCACCAGCTAGAAATATGTTGCCTATAGGACTAAGCATTATTTACAGATTTTAGTATATTTACACAAAATCTATCCACAGAGTTTTGTCTTAACTTTTGTTTTAATGTGTATATTTTTAGTTGTAGATGGGCCCAATACTTTCATTTCTTTATTTTTATGTGGTCTGAGGATTGAGCCCAGTGCCTCACATGTGTTAGATAAGCTCTGTACCACTGAGCCCCAGCCCCAGCCCCTGTCTTAACTCTGATTCTCATCTCGACTGGTGAGTCACAGATCCCTCTGCTGTCCTCCTTTCACCTTCTAGGCAGCTATACTATTTTATGCATCTTTCGTTTACTCACAAATTAAATAGCAGTATTATTATTCATTTGTACCATTAATGTTTGTTTAGAGTTACCATCTATTTGTCATTTACTTATTCTCTATTTCCTCTTCCCAGACCTTTTGTCTGAGATAATTTATCTTTGTTCTTGAAGGATGTCCTCGTTTAGAGGTGGTGCAGGTAGCTGCTGCTTCCTCCTCCTCCTCTTCCTCTTCCCCTTGCCTCCTCTCTTCTTTCAGTACTGGGCATCCAACCCAGAGGCTTGCACACACTAGGCAAGGACTTTCCCTCTGGGCTACATCCCCAGCCCAGTTGTAATTTGAAACAGTCTCTCTCTGAGTTGCCCAGGCTGGCCTCAAAATGGTGATCCTCCTGCCTCAGCATGCTGGCTAGTTGGAATTACATGTACCAAACCATATGTGTCTTCTTGATGGGGAGTTTTTGCTCAAGTCTGAGATGTCAGATAGTTTCTCTCAACTCCTTGAAGAGTTTGTTCCCTAGTCCTCCAGCTTCTATTCTGTGACTAGTTCTCTGCTTGTGTAATCGACACCCTTCTCTCTCTGACTGCTTTTATAATTTGTCTTTTTTTTAAAAAAAAAATTATTTATTTATTTATTTTACTTTTACGGGGTCCTAAGATGGAACCCAGTGCCTCATGCACACTAGGCAAGCGCTCTGCCATTGAGCTACAGCCCCAGCCCTCATAATTTGTCTTTGGTGACCTGTGGCACAATATCATAAGTATGGGTTTTAAAAAAAAAATCACCTTGTTTGGGATTTCCTGGTTTTCCTAAATTGAAGGATTTGTGTCTCCTTAGTCTTGGAAAATTATTAGTGTTATCTCTTTGAATATTGTTTCTCTGTGACTCCCTTCATTACGTTTTTCTAAAACTTTGATCAAAGGTACGTCTCATTCTGTCTTCTTTCTTATGTTTGCATCTCTTTGTTTCTAGCTGATTTCTTCAGATGTGCCCCTCAGTTCACTAAATCTTACTTCAGCTGGGTCTAAATTGCTGTTTGATGTGTGTGTTAAGTTTTTAAATTTTAATTACAATATTTTCATTTTTCAGTGTTCTTTGTTTGCTTTTCAAATATTTCTGGTCAGTTTTCATAGTCTCTTGCTCAGAACTCATGTTTTTAATCCCCACTTATTATTTTAGATGAATTAAACATATTTTAAAAATGTCTCCCAGAATATCTGAAGTCTTTGAGATCTGAGATTACTTTGATTTAGTTTCTTTTGGCTTTTCCATGGAATTCGCTTGACTTTTCATGGTACCTTATTTTCCTGTGTGTTTTTTCATTTGAATTTTGTGCTCATATTTGTTGGAACTGTAGCTGTGGGAATATTTGATTTGGGAGTGTGTTCTTCTGAGGACAACTTTTTTTTTTTTTTCCTTTCTTTTTTTGAGACAGGGTTTCACTCTGTTACCCAGGCTGGTGTCAGACTCCTGGGCTCTGATTCTTCTGCCTCAGCCTCCTCAGCTTTCGTTGTAGTTAGGTTTATAAGTGTGTGTCACCACGCTGGCCTGGGATCATTCATATTAGATTCTGACAGACATTGGAGACTGGGCTTATTTTTTTGGGGGGGGGATACTAGGGATTGAACTCAGAGTCACTCAACCACTGAGCCACATCCCCAGCTCTGTTTTGTATTTTATTTAGAGACAGGGTCTCACTGAGTTGCTTAGCATCTTGCTTTTGCCAAGGCTGGCTTTGAACTCATGATCCTCCTGCCTAAGCCTCCGAGCCACTGGGATTACAGGTGTGCGTCACTGTGCCCAGCTAGACTGGGTCTACTTTAAATTAGGTCTCTTAGCATAGAGTTATTAGGACCATATAAATAATGTAGGTTCTAAAGTTGGAGAGACTTGTGTAATTGCTGCCCAAAGCCAGAGCTGAGATAGACATTTGTTCTTTCCTTTTCTCCCCCTCCCTCCCTTCCTTACTTCCTTCCTTCTTTTTTGGCCTCAACAACAGAACTTAGCTGGGTCCCTTCTGGAGGCCAGCAGTCCAAGGACTGGGTCAGCAGGCTGGTTCTCTCTGAGGCTGTGGGGGAGAGCCCTGCCCAGGGGGTCTCCTGGCTGCTGGTGTTTGCTGGCAGTCTTTGACATTCCTTATCTCTTAGGAGGATTGCCCTGATCTTCCTTCACCTTCACAGGTGTTCTCCGTGTGTGTGGTGTGTGTGTGTGTGTGTGTGTCCAAATTTCCTTTCTAAAATGAGGACAAGAGTCATAAGGAAGATTGAGTTAAGGGTAATTTTTATAGGTATTTCACACATAGTTGGGACAAGTGGAAGGTGTTGTTCCTGCTTGTGATCGCTGCCCTGTCCCCAGCTGTGCTGCAGTGGACAGTACTCTGGCCCTCTGTCAGTGGCTGGGCTGTCACTCACCTAACTTCCCTGGGCAACATATCTAAATTACAGGTGGAAACACCTGAACTTTTAAAATGATGACAACTGTCCCAGGATCAAGAATAGCAGAGTTTGAGCAGATGATGGGATGATTTGGACACATGTCAGAACCTGGTATCCTCTGACACTGTTCGTTCCTTCATTTGAGCAGGTGTTTAATTGAGTTCCTACCAAATATCACTCACTGCGCTGGCTACCAGGCAACAGGAACTGTCCCTGTTTCCAGAAGCTCACAGTTGAATGAGTAGGCAGGTAGTTTGATGGTAAGGGGTGTGACAGGTAGAAGCCCAGGGGGAGACAGTGACCCATAACTAGAGCTTGGAGGGAGGAGGCCAGAGCTGTGTGCTATCTGAAGGACTGGAATGGCCTGATGGAGAGCCAGGGAGGGGCATTCAGGAATGGGGACAACAGGGTGCAGGTCACCAAGGCCAGAGCAGATTTGGGTTTGGGAGCCGCAGGGTGCTTATTTGGCCAGAGGAGAGTTGTGGAGGCCTGACAGGGGTGAAAGGTGGGCCTGGAGGTCTCTGGGGACAGCCTGGGAAGGGCCCAGTGACTGTTTGGAAGCACCACTGGAAAAGCCTGGAACTGTCACCAGGACCTGAGTGGTGCTGCCAGGAGGCACTCTGTCTTCGCAGGAGTCAGCTTGTGATTGGAAGAGAGAACCGTGGGCTTCAGGGTCAGGGCAGCCCTGTGTTAGAGGCTGGCTTCCCTCCAGGCAGATCTTGTAGTGGACTTGTCCACCTTCTCTAACCTCCTTCCTCGTGTGATAAATGAGAATGGCCAGACAACCTCCCAGGGCCTGTTTCCTGTGTTGTGTGGTTTTGTGGGTACGAGTGTCTGTTGTTAGAAAGCAAGAGAAAGCGTGTAAATGTGTACACACAGAGGCCAGCTTACGTAAAGGTGGTGCTCGGGTTTCTGAGTGCTTGAAGATTCATTTCCCGTGGCGATTCTGGCCATATCTGGCTTCCGCCGCGTAGCTGTGAATGGTAGCTCTCTACCGCGAGTGGATGTTTGCTGAATGAGTAACTGTGGATGCCTGAAAGGAAACCATAGCAGTCCGACTCCCGTGGCATTGCAGCTAACCCAGCTCTGGTTTTCTTGCTAGATGAGCTCCCTCTGGAGCAGCACGGCCTCTCTCCCTTCCCTGCGGAGCTCTTGCTGGAGACCAGCACCATGCCCAGCGCTGCACACGTGGCCTTAACAGAGACTGCGGCGGGGTCCCAGCTGAGCCGGTCTCTTCTCTCCACGTCCTCTCCATCTGCCACTAGTTTTGATACGGCCTTTTTAAATCATGGAAAACAGACCCAAAGTACAGCAGATCACAGTGTCTTTGTGGTAAATTATGGGTCTGTGACGAGTAATGAGGTGGCCTTCGGTGACGATGACATGGATAACTTTTTGCCAGATGCTCCCTGGACCTCTGCACGGATGGTGTCCCCAACACAGTCCATCGTGGTCAGCCCACCAGAGCTGCCCGGAGAAACGCCCGAGCTCAAGCCCACTCCATCACTACCCACGATTTCCCTACAGGACCAAGAGGTGACATCAGCCTGGCAGAGTTCAGCCCAGCCACCAGCGACTTACGTGGAGTCCCCCAGTCATCTTGGCACCTCTTGGTCAGCTTTTCCCACCTCCGAGGGCATAACTCCAACTCTTAATGGGAACCTGGTGCTTTATCCTACCGGAACCTACAGCCAGTTACCAAGTAGGACGTGGCCAGAGACAGTGGCTCCAGTCACAGAGGACGCGGGGGCCCTGCCCTTGGGCTCGTGGTCTTCTTTGCCTCCGCCGTTAGGTGATGGCGGTCCCCAACAGCCATCTCTGCCCCCTGGGGAGGTCTCACAGACTCCACAGCAGGTCCTGGCCACACGCACAGGCAGACACCCCGATGTGACCACTGCTGGGAGTCAGCGTCTGGAAGAAACTGTCTTTCCAAGGGTGGACCCCACTGTCACCGTGTCACAGACGGCCTTTGCTTCCAGGAGCACACAGGCTGCTTCGTTTTCCGCCCCTCCTGCATTTGTGTCTTTTTCTACTCCGTCAGTGGATGCTTCACACGACCCCTTCCTTCCTGGAGATGCCGGCGACACGTCAGAGTTGCCTGGCAGTCCTGTGGTCCCCAGTCACACGGCGGATACCCTCGTCCTGAGCCCCGTGGCCTCCCTCAGGCCCTACACTTGGTGCGCGTCCTGTGCTGTGGCATCTCCTCGGCACGTTCTGGCCACAGGTTCTGTGGAGAGAGACGTGGGGTCGGGGGATGGGCCCGAGACCCTGACGGTGGCCACGCTGGCAGCCAGCAGCCCCTCTCTGTGGAGTAGCGAGGCCACCGACCTCTCTGAGTTCGAGGAAGATCCTCAAGAATATAACACCCTGTTCCCCTCCAGGCCCGTGGTCTCCCTCGCTTCTCCATCCCTGAGGGTCTCGGAAGCCAGCCCAGGTGTGTCGGCCGAGGTGGGCACGAGCAGCGTCACCAGCACCCAGGTGTACTCTTCTCTTGAGCACCTCTCTGCACCAGTGTCCCTCGGGCCTGCCTTTGGCTTCTCCCCGGTGGCCGACGCTCAAGGAACACCATCCAGTGTGACCGCTGTGTCTTTCTCGGTCACTGCCAGCGTCCTCCTTGAATCATTTTTCTCTGTCACAGTAAAGGAAAGCACGCCGTCCCTCTGGTTCAGAGACGCGAGTCTGTCCCCCTCTGAGACTCTGGTTCCTCTGGCAGAGCCTTCACTTTTCTCCCACCAGGAACCCGCGGGGGCTTCTGCCCAGGGGTGGCCGAGTGTCCTGGATCTGGCGTCCAGCCTCCCCTCCACGCCTCCGCTGGACCTGGGCAGCCCGGCCCCCTCCTCTTCCCAGGTCCCTGCTGCCCCGTCTCTGATGCCAAGTGGCCTGTCCCCCATCCCGTCCCAGTCCCTTTCTGCCTGGGTGGCGACCTTGGCCTTGCTTGACCCTGCCAGTCTGCACTCACCGCCTCTTTCTGCTCCGAGTTCCACAGACCTGGCGTCTCCTCAGCTCTGGCCGAGTGCGGACCTTCCTTCAAGGACGGTCACCTCTCTCCCTGGTCCTTCTGAAGTGCCGGTGCCGCCGAGCTTCTCCTCGGATCCTCTCCAGCTTGCTGGCTCATCCACGGTCGCGCCCACGGACTCTGACGCCCTTTTTACCTCGGCTCGCACTGGAACTACCTCCTCTTTTGAGTTCTTGCCCACCCGCCACGGCTCTGCAGTCGCCACGCTGGTGCCCTCCGGCTCCGAGCCCAACCTCGATGTCTCGACTGCTGCGACTCACCCCTGGTCAGAGTCCCCTGCTTCCCCTCTGACACCTGTTTTCACCGAGGCTTTTCTGTCCTCGACTCTGACACACTCGGAGGACCCGGTCAGTGCTACAGACTATCACACGCCTGTCTCACCCTCTTCCTCCCAAGTCATTCCCACCGGTCCAGTGTCAGTCAGCGACGCATATCTGCCATCAGCATCCTCACTTGTCCCGGGGGGGAGCTCGTCACCCCTGCCCACAGAGCCACCGTCCACGCTCACAGGTTCACCGTGGAACACATCCCCCGAGCCGAGCACACCCAACAGCACTGCTGCCCATACTGTGGACACTGACCTGAGCAGTGGCACTGGGAATCCGAGCCCCCCGGAGGGCAGTGTGGCCCCTCCATTGCCATCCCTCCACCCTGTGACCACCTCCACTCTTGAAGCGACAGTGAGTACTCCAGCACCGGCCACCACCAAGCCACCTTATGTGTGTGATATTACAGTCCCCGATGCCTACTTGATCACAACTGGTAAGGCCCCGCGTCCGGTTGCCTCTCTGGGGAGGGGGCTTTTCCTAAGGTGTTCGTGAGCAGTGCTTACAGGAGACCTGAAATGCATCTATGTATGTAAAATACTTAGTATGAGCAAGTGCACTGAGCAAGCACCCTGAAGATTACCTATTAGTACTTTCAATAAAAGCAAATAGAGGATTTAAATGAACCATGGAGCTTTTGGTAGGGTCTTTGTCTTCAAAGCTCATAACTCAGTGGGCACACGGATGACATGGTTGAAAGGAAGCCCGTTCTCATTTAGTTCAAGCAGAGTCGGGAAGTTGCATAAGGGTAACCTTGGCAATTTTATACTGATTTACTATTCTTGCTTTTGCTTTTATATATTCCTGTAAATGTCATTTGGATCCCAAGGAAAGAAAAATGGAATGAATAAATGTCCTCTGAACGTAGTCACGGACTTTGATCCTCTGCCCCGCCTGTAGCCTTGGTTGGTGGCCAGCTGAGCTCCAGGGTCCTGAGCATTGTGGGCTGCTCCAGCCACATTGGGCTGCAGCCCACCTGGGGACATGCTGTACAAGGCGGACTTATCTCAAGGGCAGTGTCCAGGGAGGAGGCCTGCTCCATCAGCTCTCCATGAGAAGTGACTTGGACGTACATGACGTCTCGTGGGCTATGAGTGTGTGTTCGCCTCCAGCCTAATGCGACAGATCCTGGCTCTGTGAATTGGTTTTGGTGGGGATAGTTTTGATGAAGAAGGGAGAGAAAAATGGCAGGAGAAGTAGGGAAGAAGTGGAGTGGAGTGGACAAAGAGGAAGAGGAACGGGAAAAGGTGTAGGTGAGGACAGAGAAGAGCATGCCTGGTCCGTTTCCCCCATGCTGAGTGCGGTGGACCATGGAGCCTCTGCCCACCACCAGGACAGAGCCGCCACCCTCGCAGTGGGCTGGGACCCTGGCAGCCTTTGCTCTCCTCACCCCACAGTAACCTCTGCAATTCAGGTGACAAATCGTTACTGAGCACTTCGTAAGTGTGTGTCCTTCTCGAGGCTGTGAGGGATAGAGTCAAGGAAGACATGGTCTTAGAGCCTGGTAGGGCAGGCGGTGAGCCATGGGCTGGAGATTAGGTAATGGGAGGAGAAGATGACTGGTAGGAAATGAGGGTGGAACAAAATTAGACACTTTAATCTGCAGGACGAAGGCAGTTGAGCCGTGAGAGGAGTTTCTCATTGACAAAAATATTTTCATTCTTTTTTTTTTTTTCCTAGAGTGGTTGGATGTAAGGAGCTTATTAAAAGAGTTACTGAAAGCATCTTTATCTCTGAGATACTAGGATATTTATGATACAATGTTGTATCTTTTAAAATTTTTCTGCAAACAACTGGAAACCATTTTAGGAGTACCTCTGAGAACACTGGGCATCATATAGGATAAATTTAACTTTCATATATGATATACATTTAATGACGTTTGGTGCCCTTTATTAGGTATCTATGTTTTTAAACTGCCTTTTGGAACAAAATTCACCTCTTACGAGTGTGCTTTGTCAGCTGTGCAGAGTACCCTGCTGTCACTTTGCGTTTGGAGGGGAGGTAGATGCCATCTCTCGCTTTCAGTAAGGCCTTTGACGAGAGGACAGATCAGCTCATTTCCAGTGCTGGTTTAGATTTGACCTTGGTTGCTTTCTTTTTATCTATGAGAGAGTCTGGAGTGGGGTTCAAGGTGGTTCTTTCAGTGGAGTTCTGTAAGAAGGTAGAACCATTCTAGGTGCTCTTGATCCTTGGTGGCCTTGCAGGGAGACCCTTGACCACAGGTGTCCAGCAGAGGTGACCATGCTTCCCATCTGGCACCTTCCTGACCCATGCCCTCTTCTGGAGGGCTCCTCACCTCTCTTCTGCTGGCTCTGGGGAAATTATAGATAGTTGGCAAAATAATTGTAAGAGCTGTTTCTGGATGATTCTTTTTCTCCCCAAAGACTGTAGTTCTCACATCTCAATGTTCATTTTATAATACCTTCCTCAGATTGCTTAGAGCGGGTGGCAGTTATGGTGGCTGTGGGACCATGTAGAGCAGCACCTGGCTGTGGAGTCACATGCAGTACATGCTTTCTGCTTCCCCTGATAGTTCTTCTGTTTCTGACTTTCTGCCTCTATCCTTCCCCAAGCTTAGCTCTGGAGACCCTTCCTGTCCTCCTCTCCCCCTCCCCAGTCTGTTCTAGTTCTCCCTCCTTATTTCCTTTCTTAAATAGGACATCTTTCCATTCCCCCTTCTCCTTCCTGTTCATTCTGTCTTTCTCTTAAGATCCACGGATCCACTCTGATCCACTTGGAGCCTGTGCAGACTGTGGTGGCACCGGCATGACCCAGCAAGGTGCTCTAAGAAATGGATTTGTTCTAATGGTCTCATGAACTAAAGGAGTGATCCCCCTTACCATTTTATATCCGGGTCACTGATTTGTTGGAAAAACAATCAAATGTAACTTACATATTTTTTAAAAAAATTATTATTAGAGTTTTATAGTTATACCTAGCAGCTGGGTTGGTCCTGACAAACTCACACCTGCATGGAAGTCGACTTCAGTTCATGATCCCTCCCTTTCTCTCCTGTGCCCCCTCCCCTCTCCCATCCTCCTTTCTCTACTAGACTTCCTTTTGCTTGCCTATTAATTTATATTTGGATGGTTCTTTATGTAATCTTATCCTTCCCCCTCTTTTCCTTTATTTCACTCTAGCTTCCAAGTATGAGAGAAAACATTTGACCTTTGAGTTTTTGAGTTTGACTAATTTCACTTAGCATGATATTCTCCATCTCCATCCATTTACCAGCAAATGCTATAATTCTTTTTTATGGCTGAGTAGAACTCTGTTGCAAATATATATATATATATATACACACACACACACACATATATATACACACACACACATAATTTATTAATCTATTCATCTATTGATGGGCACACTTTTTTAAGAATAAAGAATGTGGAAGGATTCTAAAAATTAAGATCAGGGGAATGAAAAATGGAATAATAATATCAACTGCATCCTAATTTTGTGCTATGGCAAGTTGATAGAAGAGGAAGGAAAAAGTGGAGGGGGAAGGAAGGGCAAGCTTACTAAATACTCAGTAGACACAGAGCAGCAGGCATACACATGAGCATGAATTTTTAAATGGAACTTTTTAGATGTGAAAAAATTTCAATAGAACTATGCTAACTAGGCTGTAGTATGAGAAATATTTTATTTCCTGCACAAAAATTTAAAATATGGGAATTGGGATAATGTTTTTCCCCCACCCTCAGTGGTGAACATTCTTCACCTGCTGCTTTGAAGAGGGAGGAGTCCCTAGAAGGGAGGAGTCTTCTAGTTCTGTCGAGCAGCATCTTAAAGCCTTTAAAAACATTGTTTCTGAGAGCTTCTAAAGTCTGGTGTTTTGCCATTAGGGCCATAGCCAGGGGACAACCTGCTGTTTGTTGGGATAAAAACGGGAACTGGAAGCTCTTTGCCCCTGGCTAACACATTTTGGCATAGCTTGGTATTCCTGGTGACACTCAGCTGCACGCGGTGGTTGTCTTTGATCTAGTGCTGGCCAGAAGAGCAGTGCAGGAGTACATCATCACCTCCATCAAGGAAGTGCTGAGGATTCACTTCAACCGTGCGGTGGAGCTGAAGGTGAGCCGGCTGGACGTGCGGTTGAGTCCGACGGCACGCGATGATGCCCTGCCAGTTCTTCCTCTAACCCCTCTGCTGCTCCTTCCTGCTCATCCTCTCCATCTCCTCTCAATGTCATTTCATCGGGGAAGCCTCTCCTGATGCTAGACAGGGTCAAGTTGAGTTCATTGGGGGGACATTTTGGCAGAGTTGGGACAGAGGGTCTCTCAGACCAGAGGTGACACTTTTGGTGATGACCTTAACAATTTTTGCTTCCCTTGATTTACATTAAAGGACTTGGATTTGAGTTTAAATTAAATCTCAGAGTGAGTACATATGCTTCTTTCAGTACATTGAGTGAGACGGAGATGGATTTCTGAATCTTTTATACCAGTCCCCCCAGTGCCTCTTCTCCTAGATGAGCTGAGGGAGTCATGCTCTCTAGACCTGCACCATCCACAAGGTGACTGGGAGCACACGAAATGGGGCTCTTGTCAGAAATTGAGATGTGCCCTAAGATGTGCTCCCATGTGGTGGAGCTGAAGATTTTAAGAACAGAGTGAAAAGAGGAATGGAAATATCTCCCTTTTAATTTTTTTTTTGTATTGACCACATATTGAATAATATTGTGTTGTGTTAAGTAAGGTGTATTTAAGATGAATTTACAGTGTTCTTATGTTTTTAATGTGGTCTCTAGAAATCTTAAAATTGTCTAAGTGGCTTCCATTGTATTTTGGACAGCGAATGCTTAATACAGAGTAAGTGCTCTTTTCTGTGTGGTTTAAACATGACGAACACCTTGAATTCTCTGTAGCTCGTTATTCAGTTCATATTACTGGCTATTGTTTCCTGCTGCTCTGGTAATTTTGAGCTGTTTTTGAGAAGATTGAAAGAATATAAGAATAACTAAAAATTTTGATTCTCTGTGAAGCACTACCCTTTCATTTAAAATACTGATATATATTTTTAAATTTAATGTATTATCTTTCTGCCCAGTACAACTTCCTCTCAGCTTGAATTGTCTTTTGTATTTTTTATTTCCCTAGGTTTATGAACTATTCACTGACTTCACTTTTCTGGTAACATCCGGTCCTTTTGTTTACACGGCAATATCAGTCATTAATGTGCTTATTAGTAGTAAACTTGTGCGTGACCAAACTCCTTTAATCCTGTCTGTGAAACCTTCTTTCTTCGTGCCAGAGTCCAGGTTCCAAGTCCAAACAGGTGAGACAACTGAGCATAGTTGTTTTGATTTGTAAGTAGAATTTCATTTTATTTTTGTATTTTTTAAAAATGGGAGATTATTTTAGAAATTATTCATTCATTTGTTTATTTTTTGAGATGGGGTCTTGCTGTGGGCTCAGGCTAGACTCTGACTTCTAGTCAAGCCATTCTTCTGTCGTACAGCCCCTCGGGTGGCTGAGACTACAGGCGTGTGCTATTGCACCTGACTCTGTTATTTAATTTAGAAAATCTTTAAAATTATGGAAAAATTTCAAGCATATATAAAAGTACACAGACTAGTTTGATACCCCCCATGTACCTACCATATGGTTTCCACAGTGTTCAGCTTCTAGCCAGACTCATTACATCTATACCCCCATTCACTTTCCCACCTGTCACATTATTTTGCAGTGAATCTCAGGCATTGTATCATCTCACTTACAAATATTTTAGCTTATACCTCTGAAAGATAAGGCCTGTTAAACACACAAGCTCACACCCACACATTCACACTCACATACATATATATCTGTCCACAAAATTATCACACTCCCTAAATTTAACAGTAGTTCCTTAATATCATACTTTTCTTTTTATTATAGACATTTTTAAATGTATACTAAAGTAGAATTACATATGCTCATCCTGAGCTTAAAATAAGTAAACATTTTACCAGTTTTTTTTATCTTTCCTCCACAGCTTTTTTGAGGACCCCAGAGTGTTTTAAGACAATGACAGATATTATGTCATTTTGCCCATAAATACTTAAGAATTCATCTCTAATGAATTTATATACCTTTGAAGTGTTTTGTCAGTAGTACCTTGTGATGCTCAAATTGTTATCTTAGGTGTTTTTCCATTTTAAGACAATACCAGTCACCCCCATATTGCATATATTTATTTGGTACAAATTTGGCTTTCTGCATTTCCATGACATGATCCATAGAAATAATACTCTCTGCCCTTAGGCCCAGGAAGCAACTTGATGTTCTGCTTATCCTTCTGCAGCCCCAAGAAGCAATTGAACTGCCAGTCCTCAGAAGTGTGGCCCCTGAGGGCCTGAGAAGCAGACAGGCAGACATGCTGTCACACCCTCAATCCTGGGAAGCAGCTGAGCATGTTGGCCCCTGGAGGCCCTGCACAGCTCTTGGACAATGATGGGTGCCCTGTGTGATCCCACCAGAACATTCTGGCTCCCAGGCAAACTTTAGACACTGCAGGCATTGATAGGTACCCTGCCCCACTACCAGGCACTTCAGTGCATCCACCTGGGCCCATCAGAATGGTCTTGCCCCTACATAATGTGCAGAGAAACTGACATGTGCACCACAGATGGTGGTACAAGACTATAATTCCTGCAGCCTGGCCACTGAGACTTATGCAGATATTGCTAATGTTGATTATAGCTGAAGAAGCTCCACTGAATACCCACCTAGAACCAAAGCCAGTGCAGCCTTTCCAACCGCCATCCTAGGACATGCGGTCAGGAGAAGTCTTTTATTATGAAAGGCATGGTGTAAAGTTGGTAGAGGCAGCAGATCCACCAGATACACCAGTGTCAACATAGGGACACAAGAAGCATGAAAAAACGCGACACCTACAAAGGAGCATGGCTCTAGCAATAGACCCCAAATAAAAGGAAATCAGTGAATTGCCTGAAAAAGATACAAAATAATGACTTTTTAAAAAACTATTTTTAGTTGTAGGTGGACACAATACCTGTATTTTATTTATTTATTTTTAAATTGTTGATGAACCTTTATTGTATTCATTTATTTGTTTGTGGTGCTGAGAATCAAGCCCAGTGCATCACACCTGTGAGGCACATGCTCTACCACTGAGCCACAACCCAGCTCTCTTTATTTTATTTTTATGTAGTGCTGAGGATCGAACCCAGTGCCTCATGCATGATAGGTGAGCGCTGTACTTCTGAGCCACAACCCCAGCCCCCAAATAATGACTTTTTAAGGACTTAATAAGATACAAGAGGACACAGACAATTCAGTGAAATTAGGAAAGGTAACTCCTGATAGAAATGAGAAATTCAGTAAAAAGTTAGCATTTCATAAAAAAGGGCCCAACATAAATCATGGGGCTAAAGAACTTAATCAATAGAAATAAAAAATACAGTAGAGAACCTCAACAGGAGAATAGATCTAGCAGAAGAAAAGGATTTCTGAACTTGAAGACAGGTCTTTTAAAATAACTTAGTGAGACCAAAAAACAACAAAAAATAAAGTATGAAGAAAGCCTTTGAGACTGCGAGACACCATTGAGTGAGCAAACATTCACAGTATGGGTATTCCAAAGGAGAAGAGAAGAGAAAAGGCATAGAAAAATCTATTCAATGAAATAATTGCTAAAAATGTTCAAAAACTTAGGAAAGATATGGATATTCAGGACCAGTAAGCTCAAAGAACCCCCGCAGATTCACCCAAAACGGATCCTCTCTGAGGCATATTATGGTCAAATCATCAAAAGTACAAGGTAGAATTCTAATGATAGCAAAAAAAAAAAAAAAAAGTTAGGTCACATATAAAGAAATCTCCATTATGCTAATAACAGACTTTGCAGCAGAAACGTTATAGTCCAGGAGAGAATGGATGACACAGTAAGATGCTGAAAAAAACGAAACAAACCCCTACCAACAAAGAGCACTCTGCAAAGCTATCCTTCAGAAGTGAAAGAGAAATCGGCTCTTTTTAAGGCAAACAAAAACTGAGGGATTTTATAATCACCATACTGGACCTACAATAAATGCTTAAGAGAGCCCCACACTGGAAATGAAAGGGTAATAACCTCCACCATGAAACCTGTGAAAGTCTAAAACTTGCTAGTAGAGCAGATACACAGAAGAGGTCAATCAGTACACAAAATGACCAAGCCCCCAGACCTCAAAAACAGCAAGGGAGGAAGAAAGGAACAGAAGATCTACAAAACACCCAGAAAAAAACTAAGAAGATGACAGAAATATGGCTTTACTTATGAGTGATAACTTTGACGGTAACTAAATTCACCAATCAAAAAATATAGATAGACTGAATGGATCAAAAAATCAAACCAAAACAACAAAAAATGACTGTGCTGCCTACAAGAAACTCACTTCACCAAAAAAGACACACATAGACTGATAGAAAAGCGATGAAAAAGATATACCATGTAAATGGAAACCGGACGTGAGCTGAAGGAGCTATATTTATAGCAGATCAATGGACTTTAAGTGAAAAATTATAAAGGGAGACAAAGAAGGGCCCTCTATAATGATAAAGGGATAAATTCAACAAGAAGAAACAACAATTATATAAACACACAACGGACCCAGTTATGAAAAGCAGACATTATTTAAAGATTTAAAGGAGAGAGAGACTCTATTACAATAACACTGGGGACCCCAGCCCCTCATTTTATCAACGGACAGGTGCTTCAGACAAAAGAATCAACACAGTAACGTTGGAGTTGGACCATACTGCAGACCCAGTGGACCTGATAGACATTTACAGAACATTTTACCCACCAATTGCAGAATACACATTCTTCTGTCAACACATGGAATGTTCTCCATTATGGACCATATGTCCAGCCACAAAACAAGTCTCAACAAATTAAAAAAAAATTGAAATCATAGCTCGTGTTTTCTCTGATTACCATGGAATAAACTAGAAATTGGCAAGAGCAACTTTATACATTGTACTAATACATGAGCATTCACAACATTCTTTTGAATGGCCAAGTGGATCAACAAAGAAATCAAAAGGAAATTAAAATCTTCTTGAAACAAATGAAAATGTAAATGACATACCCAAACCGGTGGGATATAGCAAAAGCAGTGCTAAGAGGGGAATTTATAGCAATCAGTGCCTACATCAAAGAAAAGTAAAAGAAAAATTTCAAATCAACCTAATGACACAACTAAAGAACTAGCTAGTGAAGCCAGCACAAACCAAATGCAAAATTAGTAGAAATAACAAGGGTCAGAGGAGAAATAAATACAGATGAAAGAAACAATTAGAAAGATCAATGAAATGTTGGTTTGTTTTTTTTTTTTAAAGATAGATACAATTGGCAAATCTTTAACTAGACTAACAGAGAGGGAGGAGAGGAGAGGAGAGAGGGGAGAGGGGAGAGGGGAGAGGGGAGAGGGAGAGGAAGGGAGGGGAAAGAGAAGGTGGGGATGGGCACAGCCCAAATAAATAAACTCAGAGATGAAAAGGAAGACATTGCAGCTGATACCACAGCAATATGAGAGATCATCCTTAGGGACTATTAGGAGCAACTGTATATCCACAAATTTGAAAATTCAGAAGAAATGGATAAATTTTTACACACATGTAACTTACCAAAATTGAACCACAAATATGTAGGAAACCTGAGCAGACCAATAACAAATAATGAGATTGAATTAGTAATAAAATGTCTCTCAACAAAAAAAAGTCCAGGATCAGATGGCTTTGCTGTCGAATTTTATAAACTCTTTAAGGAAGAACTGATGCCAGTTCTTCTCAAGCTATTCCAAAGCCTTGAAAACGAGGGAACTCTTCCAAACATAGTCTTCAATGCCACCTTATACAGATACTAAAACCAGACAAGGACATGACAATGATAAAAAAACTACAGTCCAATATTTCTGGTGAACATAGATGCCAAAATTCTCCATAAAATACTAGTGATGTGAATTTAATAATATGTAAAAAATATTACAGGGTATGGGAGGATTAAGTGAATTATAAAAAGGGCAAAGGGGAAAAGGGGAGAGTGGGAAAGGGAGGGGGTATAGGGTAGGAAAGACGGTGCAGCCATGGTCATCATTACCCCAAGCACATGTATGAAGACATGAAGGATGTGACTCTACTTTATGTACAACCAGAGATATGAAAAGTCATGCTCTATATGTGTAATATGAATTGTAATGCATTCTGTTGTCATATGTAACAAATTAAAATAAAAAAATTAAAAAAAATTACACACCATCATCAAGTGGGATTATCCCAAGGAGGAAAAGGAGATTCTACATATGCAAATCAATAAACACATCACAAGAAAGAATAAAGGACAAAAACCATATAATCATCTTAACAGGTGCAGAAAAAGTGTTTGATAAAAGTCAACATCCCTTCATGATTAAAAACCCTCAAAAATTAAATACCGAATACTTAACATAGTAAAGGTTGCATATGAGAAACACATAGCCAACCTCTTGCTGAATGGGAAAAATTAAAATTGTCATTTCTAATATCTGGAATAAGACAACACTGTCGATTGTCACCACTGTTATCCAATGCAGTACTGGAAGTCCTGACCAGAGCTGTTGGGCAAGGAAATAAAGAGCAGCCTGATGCCAAAGAGCCAGGCAGTCGAAGTGTCCCTGTTTGCAGCAACATGACTTTATAGCTAGAAAAACCTGAAGACTCTAAAAAAAAAAACCTGTTAGATCTTATGAATTCAGCAAGGTTGTAGGATACAAAAATCAACAAGTAAGAATCAGTAGTGCCTTAATACACCAGTACTGATACTCCTGAGAAAGAAATCAAGAAGGTATCCCCTTCACGATAGCTACCCAAACAATTACAACAAGAAAGCACTTGGGAATAAGTAAACTGAGGAAGTGAATGGTCTCTACGATGAAGAGCATAAAATGCTGATCCAAGAAATTAAAAAGGACACACACACAGTAAAAAATGGGAACATATTCTATGTCCAAGGATTGAAAGAATTAATATTGTTAAAATGTCCATCATGGGGCTGGGGATGTGGCTCAAGTGGTAGTGTGCTCACCTGGCATGTGTGAGGCACTGGGTTCGATCCTCACCACCACATAAATGTAAAATAAAGATATTGTGTCCACCTGGGGCTGAAAAATAAATATTTTAAAAAAATGTCCATCATACTCAAGCAATGTATAGATTCAGTGCATTTCCTATGAAAATAACAATGATGTTCCTAACAGAAGTAGAAAAAAAAACCTTATAAAATTTGTGTGGAACCATGAAAGAACCAGAATAGTCAAAGAAATCCTGATCAAAAAAAGCAGAAGTGGCTGGGCGTTGTGGTGTATACCTACAATCCCAGCTACATGGGAGGCTGAGGCAGGAGGATTGCAAGTTTGAGGCTAGCCTGAACAACTTAGACCCTGTTTGAAAATAAGAAATAAAAAATTAGCTCAAAGTAAGAAACAAAATTAGCTCAATGTGTAGCTCAATGGTAGATGAGCCTGTGTTCAAGGATTCTATCCTCATTGTGAAACAAACAAAAACCCCAAAGCTGGAGGAATTACAATACCTGACTTCAAAACATACACAGTGATAATAACCAAAGCAGCTTGTACTGCACAAAAACAGACTTGAACCCTAGTGGAACAGAATGGATAACCTGGTATAGGCCCACGTATTTACAGCCAACTGACTTTTCACAAAAACATACATTGGAAAAAAGGATGTTCTCTTCGATACATGGTGCAGGAAAACTGGATATCCATGAAGAAGAGAGAAACTAGATCCCTATTTCTTCTCCATATACAAAAACCAACTCAAGGGGCTGAGAGTGTGGCTTAGTGGTAAATTGCTTGCCTAGCATGTGTGAGGCCCTAGGTTCAATGAATTGCCAGTATCACACACACAGAGACAAAAGGAAAAAAGTCAACTCAAAGTAGACATGAAAACTATGAAACTACTAGAATAAAATATAGTGGAAATCCTTTAGGACATTGGTCTGGGCAAGGTTTTTTGGATATGACCCAAAAAGTATAGGCAACAAAAGCAGAATTGACAAATGGGGTTGCATCAAATTCAAAAGTCTCTGAAAGGCAAAGGAGTCAAACAGCGAAGAGATGGTCTTCAGAGGGGAGAAATGATTGCAGACTCTGCATCTGACAAGTATTTCTGTTCTACAATGTGTAAGGAACTCAATAGTAAAACCCCAAACAATCTGATTAAGAAATGAATAAATGACCATAGGAGACATTTATCCAAATAAATTATATGTGTGGCCAACAGGTATATACTAAGGGCCACCAATTGCCCAGCCTCACTAAGCATCAGAGAATCACAAATCAGAACCGTGGTGAGAGATTGACTCGCTTCAGAATGGCTATAACCAAAAAGACAGAAAAAAAAAAAAAATCAACGTGGCAAGGATGAAGAGAAGAGGGAACTCTCATACATTGTCAGTGGGAGTGTAAATTTGTATATGCATTACGGAAAAGAACATTCATATATTCATTTGAGGAAACATGGGGGTTCCTCAAAAACTAGAAGTTTGCTACCATATGGTCCAGCAATAGCACTACTGGATATATGTCCAAAGTAATTGGTATGTTGAAGAGACACCTGCACTTGCATGGTTAGTTTCAGCTCTATTTACAAAAGCTAAGACAGGGACTCAACCTAGACCTTCATTGCCAGTTAAATGCATAAAGAAAATGTGATATATATATATACACAATGGAATATTATTTGGGCAGAAAGAAGAATGGAATTCTGTCATTTGCAGCAACGTGAATGGAACTAGAGGACATTAAGTAAAATAAGTTAGGGATAGAAAGCCAGATACCACGTGTTCTCATTTACAGATGGAGGCCGAAAAGCTGATGTCAAAGAAGTAGGGAGTAAGATTGATGGTTACCAGAGCCTGGAAGGGATGTGGGTGGGGAAGGAGGGCTGGAGAGGACTTCTGATGTTCCGTAGCACAGAATAACTATGGTTAAAAACAATTAATTGTCTCTTTTTAAAATAACTATTAGAGAGGATTTTGAACGATCCCAGCACCAAGAAATGATAAATGCTTGAGGGGAGAGACGTGCCAGTCACTCTGATCTAATAGTTATATGCTGTATACATGCATGGAAACGTTATGCCCTACCCCAAATATGTATAATCGTTATGTGTTAATTAAAAACAAAAATCTATTTAAAAAGTTCATATTAAAAAAGAGAAATAAGCTGGGCGTGGTGGTGCATGCTGGGAATCCCAGCAGGAAGATCAAGAGTTTATCATCAGCCTCAGCAACTTAGCGAGGCCCTAAGCAACTTAGTGAGACCCTGTCTCAAAATAAAAAAATAAAAAAGGGCTGAGGATGTGGCCCCGTGGTTAAGCACCCCTAGGTTCAATCCCTGGTACCAAAAATTAAGTAAATAAATAAATTTAATAAAAAAAATTTTAAAAGAATGTTTGAAAAATAGAGAAATAAAGCACTGTAGGACTTGATTGCATTCTATGGGTGAATTTGTTGATTTGGGTTCTATTTTTTTTCACTCTCTTCATTCCGTAATCCTCAAGAAGCACCTCACTCATGGGACTTGATTGCTGTCCTTGTTTTCAGTGCTTCAGTTCGTGCCTCCAAATGTGGATACTGGCTTCTGCAACTTCACCCAGAGCATCGAGAAAGGCCTGCTGACGGCCCTCTTTGAAGTGAGGAAGCAGCACCAGGGGACCTACAACCTCACGGTGCAGGTGAGACTGTCCCTGGATGCAGAACTGAATGGGAATCCTGTAGAGGGGAAACTGCCCCCCAGTGTTTCATGTGCTCAACCCTCATTGCCCCCAGTGGGGGAAACCCAGGTGGTGTGTCCCCGGGTCATCTCCCTACAGTACAGCAGGAGTCTGGTAGGCACGGCTTGAGCATCTTGGAGACCGCAGAGAAGCTGACAACCAGGGAGCTCGGGTGTGGTGAGCTGAGGACATGACCATGGGCAGGAAATTCAAGAATGTTCTGAAAAGCAATGCTGTCTGTCTAAACAGCCAAGGGGGAGTGCCTCAACATACTGGTGTTTTCCTAAATGTTGTGTATCCCTCATCCAAAATGCTTGGACCAGGAGTGTTTCAGATTCCAGAGTTTTTCAGATTTGGGAATATTTGTGTAGACTTTACTGATTGAGTTTCCCAGATACTGAAAATCTGAAATGTTCCTAAACCCAGAACTTTCTGAGTACTAACCTGGTACTTAAACGGTGTTGGATTTTGGAGCACCTGAGCTTTCAGGCTAGGGAGGCTCTGCCTGTGTTATGGGATACCTGAGTGCAGCACTCAGTCTAAGCCGAGGCGGTGGCTTCGCGTCCCAGGCCTGGCTTTGTACAGATCGTATGGAAACTGCTGATGTTTTCACATTTCTTTGTTTTTTTCCCCCTTCATATTCTTTGTTCTAACATGCCTGTTATCTAGATCTTGGTGCCTCTGGATTCACCTTCCATATTTCTTATTTTTCCCTCACATTTTCCATGTCTGTTTATTCTCTATTTTTTACAGATTGTCTAAACGGTCCCACCAGGTCACTAACGCTGTCATCCTCTCTGGACATTGCATTATTCATCCTCCTGTAGAATTTTTCTTTAGCAAACCCCTCTCTCTCTCTCTCTCTCTCTCTCTCTCTCTCTCTCTCTCTCTTTTTTTCCATTTTTCTTTGCTTCTTTTTCATAATAGCCTTTCCTTCCACGATGCAGGTCATCGTGAACGACAGTGCAGGGTCACCTTGAGAGTCTCTCTCTGAGGATGTTAATTTGAATTTTAAAAAATTCTCCTCCGTTTCCTACGCGGTGTGTGCTTTCTCTGCAGTCCTTGCTCTGTGTGCTGGTCTTGCTCCTTCGCCCCTGCGCTTGTCTGGAGGTGCCCAGGTTGCTAATGCTGGTGGCCGGTCCAGATCCCTACAGCCATGTGCCCGCCCTGTCTCCTAACGGGGGATTCCCAGGGTGCTGGCAGCTGGGCAGAACATACTGGTGCGGGCTTCCCAGCGCAGCACGTGGTCAGAGGTGGGCAGAAGGGGCCACTGTCAGGATGAGGCAGAGATGCACTGACCTCTTTTTCATGGCAGGACGGAGCTTTCTTTCCTTTTTCTCTTGCGTGTCCTGGACTTACCTGTCTCTGCCCTCTGTCTTACATAGGGTCCAAACCCACAAGGGGCCTTTTGTTCCCCAGGGACTTGTTTTCCTCTGGAAGCAGTTCTTTGGCCTGTGTTGGCCTGGATGTGGCATTGAGAAGTGAGAGAGGAGGAAGGGATCCGGGCAGCTCTTTGGCACAGATCTTTTAATTAATCATACTCATACCGATTACCTCTCTGGCCTGCTTTTGTTCTCTGTTCCTCTGCTTTCCCCGGGGTGTCTCTCTGGGCCCTCCTTGGGGAATGGCTCTGCTGTGCGCTCTGCCTGTGTAGGTTTTGGGTCTCAGTTCCCTCCGTTCTGGTTTATTTCAACATGATCCTGTCCTTTCTCCATCTTCCAGAAATTTGACAGACTCTGGGCTTCCCCTCTTCTCAGTGCTGTTGTGGATTTATTCCCCTTTGTTCAGCTTCTTGTTATTTCAGTGGGATTTGGGTGGGAGGCAGAGCCGGGGAAGGATTATAAATACATGAGCTCAGTGCATCATTTAATGTAAAAAGCATTTTCAATAAACGGAGTGTTTAAAGTCTTGCAAAAGGGAACCAGGTTAGCAAGCCAGATATTTTTCCTTTGATAACTTTACCTCTTTTAAAAACATTGATGTCAGAGCTATGAGAGAGAACACATCGTCCAGCTTGCAGATGAATGTTTTAATTTATTTTAGAAGCTTCTTCTGACTTTTCTTCTTTCAGATCTTGAACGTCACTGTTGGTTCCTCAAGGATGGCCTCTCGGCGGGGCCCGGTGAATATTATCTTTGCTGTTAAAAACACACAAGGATTTTTGAATGGGTCAGAGGTGAGCGAGCTGCTCAGGAACCTGAGCGTGGTGGAGTTCAGCTTCTACCTGGGGTACCCGGTGCTGCAGATCGCAGAACGTGAGTACCGCATGCTTTTGAGGCTCAGGGGAAGTGGCTGCTGACATTTTTGCCGGTGGACCAGTTTTTTAAAATATTTTGAATTTTTAAAAGGGACTACTTTTTTAGAGCAGCTTCAGGTTCACAGCAAATATGACCTGAAGATATGGAGATTCCTATCATACCCCTTCCCTTCATGGATAGCCTCTCCCCTGATAACACCGGGCCAGAGTGGTCCATTTGTTACAGTCGAGGAACCTACATTGACACACCATTACCACCCAGATGCCATAATTTATGTCAGAGCTGACTTTTTAAAAAAAATTTTGTTTGTTCTTTTTAGATATACATGACAATAGAATGTATTTCCACCTATTATATATACATGGAATATAATTTCCCATTCTTGTGGTTGTATGTGATGTGGAGTTCCACTGATCGTGTATTCATATGTGAACATAGGAAAGTTATGTCTAGTTCATTCTACTGTCTTTCCCATTCTCATCCTTCCTCCCTCAGCTTCATTCCCCTTTGTCTAATCCAGTGAACTTCTATTCTTCCCCAGAGAGAACATCCGGCCTTTGTTTTTTTGGGATTGGCTTATTTTACTTAGCATAATAGTCTCCAGTTCCATCCATTTACTGGCAAATGTCATAATTTCATTCTTCTTTATGGCTGAATAACATTCCATTGTGTATATATACCATATTTTCTTTATCCACTCATTTGTTGAAGGGCACTAGCTTGATTCCATAGTCTAGCTATCATGAATTGAGCTGCTATAAACATTGATGTGGCTGTGTCACTGTAGTGTGCTGATTTTAAGTCCTTTGGGTATATACCAAGGAGTGGGATAGCTGGGTCAAATGGTGGTTTCATTCTGAGTTTTCTGAGGAATCTCCATATTGCTTTCCAGAGTGGTTGCACCAATTTGCAGTCAGGGCTCCCTCTTGGTGATGTGTGTTCTTGAGTTTGGGCAAACGTACAGTGATAAGTCTATACCATTGTAATGTCGTACAGAGTAGTTTCACCGGGACTTCCTTTTCAAAGGAAATATTTGACTGAACTCCAGAGTATAAATCAGATAAAATCAGAACGTATCAGAATTTAACCAGGTGGCTCTCCAGAGCCCTCCTCCAGTGCTGGGCTTCTCTGTGACTTTGAGAGTAAAGGGGTACATTAAAGAGTATTCTAGTTCTAGAAAAGGGCAGCAGTATAGTGATGGGGAATAGGTCTGTGGCTGTCCGGGGCTGGTGTGGGAGGAAGTCTGACTATAGCAGCGTGGCAGGAGGTGGTTTAGGGAATGATGGGACTGTCTGTACCCCACCCTGGTGTCCACATGACTGTGCATATGGATCAAAACCCATAAAATTGGAAATCGAAAGGAGTGAGTTTTACTGTGTGTTAATTTAAAGATACAATGTAATAAGTGAAAACAAAAGATACAATGTAATAAGTGAAAACAAAACAAAAGATACAATGTAATAAGTGAAAACAAAACTGAAGCAATAAGGTTCACAGAGCCATTGGAGGTGATGGTGAGGAAGGGAGAATGTTTACCTCAAAAATGGAACATTCTAGAGTTGAAGTCAGCAAAAAAGTATCAGATTCTTTTTCAAAATGGAGCAGCCAAGCAGCCTAAGGACTTCACATTTTTCAGATTATTGGTGATTAAGTTCAAAAGAATAATGTAGAAAATAAGAAGTAGACAGGGATATAGCAACCTCCAGTTGTGCATATTATACAACAGCTAAAATAATAAGTGTGCTGGGCAGCAGAGGTGTGCTGAGACTGTTCCAGGCAAGCCAGGACACACGGTCACTTTGCCCTGGGTCACTGCTGGGAAAGCCCAGGGCTCTGAGAGCACAGTGGGAACCCATTGCCTGGAACAGTGACCTCCATGGAACTTGAGGGGCGTCTCTCTGGGAAGCAGTGCCCTGTGTTGGGGCTGGGGAAGGCCTGCTGTTTCTGTTGTCCTTCTCTCTCCTAGAGACACCATGCCCAGAATCTGCCTCCCGTCTGGTCATCACACTGGCCTGGCACAGTGTCCTCCCTTATTTAGAGCGCAGTGGCATGGCAGGGATGCTCCGGATGGCTCACCTGGTGCTCCCAGGGCGCTGGCCTTTCTGACTGTTGCAAACGTGTTTCTTACAGATTCTCTCCTCCCCATCTCTTTCCTTTTTGTAGCCTTCCAGTACCCACAGCTCAACCTATCTCAGTTACTGAAGTCCTCCTGGGTCAGAACAGGTGAGTAGAGCTGGCATAATGTTTTGGGAACTGTAAGAATGAGAAGTCTGTGTGGGCATATTGAGAATGAGACGCCTTTCCTGTTTCCTAAATTGAGGACAAAATGTACTTTAAATTCTTGGCAGAGAATGAATGAGAAAGGGATTCAAATTGGGCTATGGGAAAGTGTCCCACTGAGTTGTGGCACAAAAAGGATTGGCCTTCTTTAAAATTTATACATAAGTCCAGGGCAGAATCTAACCAGAACTCACAATGTCCCGACCTGGAACAAGATGAGGTTCAGAAGTGAGGATCTTTTTTCCTAAAATTGTTATTTGTTGGTTTAGAAAGACAAGTAAGATAGTTAAACTGCCACAGGGGCCCACAGCAGCTATTTAGAGGGAGGGCGTCACAGAGAGAGAATTTCTAACCAGGTCCACGCGTCTTACCAACAGTTAGACACTCCCTTGGTGCCAGAGTACAAGCAGCATGTGATTGGCACAGGTAAGGAGTATGTCAAGCAGCGTCATCACCGTTTACGGGATGCCAGTTCTTACTGAACATACAGCGTGCTGTGCAAGGGCCTGCCTCTTTGCATGGCATGGGGCCTTGTTTTCTAGATGATTTTCATAGCGATTGAGTGACTTGCCTAAGGTTGTATCTCACAGAGGATTGAAACTAGTTCTGGCTGGAAAGCACATGGTGCTTCCCTATGGACCATGCTGATAAGCTGATTATCTGTTTAGATAATCTCGTCTAAAGTAGATACCAGAAGTCAGCCAGACACCCTTTCTTCAAGTGAGTTTGTAAGTCCAAGTCTTAAGACAAGATAAGAATGCACACTGTTTCCAGGAGTTTTGAGATAAGTGCAGACAGACACAATGTTGGATCTCACACAGATGCTCTTTGCTCCAGAGCTCCTACTGTGCTGTGTTCCCAGGTTTTCTGGCCACCCGGCTGCAGAACACTTAGATAAGATCAGAGCATGGCCAGGTCCACCCTCACCTGTGTCCATTTTGCCCACTCCTAAGGTCTCCTCTCTAGGATCAGCATTTATAGTAATCTGTGTTAATTTCGGCCTCACACACATATACACCCATGCAGTCCCACCCTTTCCGCCTCTGACGTGTTGGGGGCTGCGTGTTTCCTGTTGCATGCAGTCCTCCTGGGCGTTGTGGAGAAGCAGCTCCAGAACGAGGTGTTTCAAGCTGAGATGGAGCGCAAGCTGGCCCAGCTGCTCAGTGAGGTTCCCACCAGGAGGCGCATGTGGAGAAGGGCCACCGTGGCTGCAGGGAACAGCGTGGTGCAGGTACTTGTAGAGGGAGAGAGGAGGGAGAGGGGGAGCCCACTGAAAATCCTGTGCTTCATGTGCAAATGGGAAATGCAAGGAAAAAATTCTGATTTCAACTGATTGCTCTTTTGCAAAGCAACTAATGTGGCAGCACTGGGGGCCAAGTAGCGTTGACCGAGTCCTAGTACGTGGGTGGTCTAGCACTGACCTGGGGAGCAGAGCACAAGGGTTGCTACTAGATTGCCATAATAATGCAAGAGCTTACTTTTTTGAAGAGTGTTTTTTTTTTAATTACCAAAAATGTGTTTATGGCTGGAATTCATTATAAACATGAATTGTTTATCTGGAAGAGACCTTAAGAGATGGAGAGAGGGTCTCTTTCTGTCTCCCACCAACATGGTTGTCTTGTGTTACCCCAAGTCTCCTTCACGTTGGTGAACTGGCAGACAGATTCCAAAAGATAGATTGGTTTGAACTTAAGGGTGACCCATTTTAAATGCACAGACTCATAAGACACTGGGAGTTGGGCTGTTATTTGTTCCTTTTCTAGGTGAATGATGTGGGCTTTTTCTTCTTTACTAACCGCTAGGAAAATGGGCTGTTTAGAATGACTGTATTTCAGAAAAAGGAAACTAGGATGACACTCAGAGGTGCAGGTGTGGGGCTGGCCGGCCCGGGGTGGGAGGCATCAGAGAAGATGTGCACATGGCATTGGGTAGGATGAGGGTGGCATATTTCCTGAGAAATGGCATCCTGGTCCCTGACACTCTCACCAAGTGCTTCCCTCCTGGCATTGCTGTGTACCCTCCAGAAATGTGATTCTTAGGTTTCTAAAGTGCTTCCTTTGTCAATTGCAGTAACTAGAGAGAAATTTAAAAACTAATAAAAATCAAATAAGCATAAAACAAAGAATAAAAATTAAAATGAGTTATAAAACCTTTGCCTTGTTCTATAGCCCTTGGCTTCATAGAGTTCAAGATTTGAGTGTGGGTTGATTTATGCACACAAAGCAATTAGGAGCACCATAAAACTGTAAAAATAAGGTGCTAAATTGGACATGCAAGGTCCTGAAGTAGGAATATTAATTTGTGGAAGTTAACTGGTACACCTAATGTTAATGGTGCTGTCTGATACAGGTGCTTATAAAGCGTTCTGCTTCTCTTCCCCTTTCAAGTGGCCAAACAGTGAGGATGTAGTCAAGGATTTGTAGACAGGAGTACACAACTCCTCACCAGAACTTAATTTGTAAATGTGAAAAAGTTGAACAAACCTAAATGTCCAGCATTTGGGGATAAATAGCAAATATTTATTTGTTGGAATATTATGCTGCCATTATTTTTTAAAATTAGAAATACAGAAGGATGTTTAAGTGAAAAGAGACTAAAAAAGACCTATATGATATAATCCAAATAGTAATATAGAATTCAAGGGAAAAAAGAATTGAAGGAAATATATCAAATTTACTTGGAGCCAGGTGCGATGGTGCATCCCACTAATTCCAGCGGCTCAGGAGGCTGAGGCAGGAGGATCAAGAATTCAAACCCAGCCTCAGCAACTTAGTGAGGTCCTAAGCAACTCAGGGAGATGCTATCTCTAAATAAGATACAAAAAAGAGCTGGGGATGTGGCTCAGTTGTCCAGTGACCCTGAGTTCAATCCCGGTAATCCTCCCCAGACCAAAAAAAAAAGTTTACTCTGGTTTTCTTCAATTGGTTGAATTTCAGGAGATTTGAATTTTATTACCTTTTTTACATGTGAATTTTGAAATTTTGCCAATGGGCCATATGATTTTTATAGTGTACATGTGATTTTAATCAGAAACTAATTTTTAAAATGAAGTTGAAAATATTACCCAAAGTGATGGTCTCATGGTACCAGGCTCATCATGGTTCCAGACCCAGTCCTAGTAGCCGTCAGCTGGGGGATGAGGGATGCTGGAGCCAGACCTTCTGACCATTACATTCAGACGGGACCAGCTGGTGAGAGGCTTTAATCAGGGTGGCATCACTGGACATTTGGACATCCCTGGACATTCTTCTACAGGAAGAAATCATGCTAAATTTATCAAACTTTTTTTTTTAAGTTTTCTTTTTAGTTGTAGATGGACACAATACTCTTATTTTATTTATCTTTATTTTTATGTGGTATTGGGGATCCAACCCAGTGCCTCACACGTGCTAGGCAAGTGCTCTGCCACTGAGCCACAACCCGGGCCCCTTATCAAACTTTTATATAGGTTACGTATGCATATAGAGAAGAGGGTCAGGTGGACATAATCTGCATGGTTTTCTGCAGCCTTTTGATAGCATTCCATACTACAGGCTAATAAAAAGCCAGTCACCACAACATGGTCATGGGGAAGGAGGAGGTGACAGAGGAGGAGATGTGCTCAGTCAGCAGGCCTCCGGACAGCAGGCAGAGGGCAGGACAGACAAGTCTTCTCAGGATCAAATAGGATGGATGTTCTTTTTTAAAAATTTCTTTTTTTTAGTTGTAGATGGACAGCGTGCCTTTATTTATTTTATTTGTTTATTTTTATGTGGTGCTGAGTATTGAATCCAGGACCTCACGTGTGCTAGGCAAGCACTTTGCCACTAAGCTACAGCCCTAGCCGTTGACAGATGTTCTTAGAGGGTGAGAGTTTGGACCCAGGTTGTTAAGGATCTTTGGAGATGATTTAGATAAAGGAGTTTTCAGTGAAATCATGAAATCGTTGGTTTTCCAGAAGTTTCGCAAGGTGAAGGAGTCCAGCTGTGGTACCCAGAGCGTAGGACAATGTCACAAAGCCACACATGTGGATAGAGAAGTAGCAGCTGCATTTTAGCAACAGCAAAAGTACAGAACAAAAATTCAAAGTGCACGAGTAAAACAAGGCCCTCATTGAACTTTTTCTCAGGATATGAACCTAGTGCTTTGCTGAAGGCTAAGAGGGCAATAAAATAGTTGCACATTATTAACAGAAATAGCAACGAAACAAACCTGTATGAGTGCAACACCCTGATACGTCAAGTGGTCAAGATGCTCAAGTGCGGATGGGAAGGGGCTGTCTTAGGACACAGAGGAAGTTAGGTTTTGGGACATATCCAGGTTTGATTTGATCTGGAAGATCACAAATTTACAAGGTTTACTATTCTTAAATGAGCAGTTCTCAGTGGGTGGTGCTTTTGCCCCGCTCCCACTCCAGGGCACATTTGGCGATGTCTGGAGACATTTTTGATTGTCACTTTGTGTGGTGCAGGCCAAGAGTCAGTTGCTACTGGCATCTGGTGGGTAGAGGGCAGGGATGCTGCTAACCAACCTAGAATACTGGCCCCAAGTGTCGATAGTTCTGAGGTTGGGAGGAGGGAATGCTAGTTGACTCAAGAAGGGACTTCACAGGAAGGTCAGGAGTGGCCCCCATGGCTTGGTGAGCCTGTTGGAGCTTGTTGGCAACACTTCTGGACTGCCAGGCCTGGCCAGCCCTAAGTCCTGTGTATCTTGCTGGCCCTGACATCTCAGAGATACTGAGTACAACAAAGCACACTTGACATTCTGCACGGAGGAACTTACATTTGAATCCCTCTTCCCATCAAGAGAGAGCACCTTCATGATGTGGGGCTCTGGGCAGGGAAGGGGCTTGTTGTGAGGAGTAAATTCCTCGGTCACAGTCAGGGGTAGGTGGCCTGAGGATGGAAATGTGAGCTTCTGCAATGCTGATGGTTTCTGTTCTCTCAGGTGGTCAATGTGTCCAGGCTGGAGGGAGATGACAATCCCGTGCAGCTCATCTACTTTGTGGAGGATCAAGACGGGGAGAGACTCAGTGCCGTCAAGTCTTCAGATCTGATTAACAAGATAGACCTTCAGAGAGCTGCGATTATCTTGGGGTATCGAATCCAAGGCGCTATTGCCCAGCGTAAGTCCCAACTATGTTGGGGCCCCAGACAGGCTTCTCTCAACATAAGCTCCAATGTGGGGCAGTATATTTTGTGTCTTAAGCCCTTATTATGAATTGACACTTATATAAGATGCCAGTTGTTAAAGCTCATTTGCTGAGACCCCCTTTGTTCTAGATTCTGGGGTCTTCTAGTTGTGGTGGGTACTGCTGCTTTGCCTATTTCCTCTTCCTGGTGTTGGAGTGAGTTACGGCACCTTACATCAATGCTAATGTCCTTCTCCCTTCTCCTGTGCTGTTTCTCTTTTTAAAAATTTTGACTTAGGCAAATTCGTTGTGCTTGTTTTGTTATTATTCCAAAATCTCCTATGTCATGTTCTGAACGTTGGTGGGGACCGTGAGTCACGCAGGAAGCAGGGAGGTGCCCTCTGGATTTGTTGGCTCCTTTCAGGGTCTTTCAACACAAAGAAGTCCTTGATCCTTACCCTTTTCAATCCTGTCTCTCTCTCACCCTATCCTCACACCACTCCACAGTGTAGAAAGAGGTATTTTGATCTTTGTTTTTGTTGGAAAGTCCTTGGCCCCTGCTCCCTGGCCGTGCCTGTTCTTGGTGTCTCTTTTCCAACTCTCAGATTTTGGGTACATATTTAAAATGAAGGAAAAGGAGAGGCAAAAAAAAAAAAAAAAAAAGGAGAGGTCTATTTTCCAAATAGACCTTTACAAATCAGACTCTTTTAATGGGGATGTTTTTCCTCTGTGATCCGGAGAGTCCTTTTAAGAGCTTGGGGAGATTTGCTCTGGCACTAAAGCCATCAGGAAGTGTTTTAACACCAGAGGATGCTGAAAAACTCCTTAGAGAGTGTAGATGGGAGGCAGAGCAGTTTCAAAAAGTGATGGCTTTGAAATTGTCCTTGGTAGCATCAGGTTCTTTGTGAAGTCTATCTTGTCCCTGGATACTAACCAGGACAGGGCTCTGGATGCATATTTTCCATTTGATGGAAGATGGTGGGACGGAGTGAGCCGTAACCACGGGCAGGCTGTGCTGGCACACCTGAGATATGACTGCATGCTAGTGCCTTCTGTTTCAAGGCAGTGAGAAAATGGGAGCAAAAGCACTTCCTGACGTGGCTTTACATGTGACATTTGTGGTGGCAGGAGGGGCAGCTCAGGCACTTAGCATTTTAAACAAGGTTGAGTACAGCAGGATACCACATCTTTTAGGCCTTCCTCCGTCTGGTCTTGGACCTCTCCTTCCCCAGTCCTGGGATTTCAGAGTTGGTGAAGGAGGCCTCAGCTGAAGCCAGGGCCATCCCAGGGGCTTTGGGACACTGGTGTTGACCTGGCTTTGCTCAGCCTCTGCCACTCCAGTGGTTTACCAGGCTGGAGCTCAGAGGAGTGTCCAGATCTCTCAGCTCCTTGGTAGATGCTGACATTGCTTCTCTGTTGTCAGTTGTTTTTATGCAAAGTGAGCTCCGTATATAAATTACATTCACATTAAACCTTAAAATCCAAAGTTTTGACCCATTGTTATTTTCCCCCTGTCACCTGCAGTGTCTGCTCTGCCGGGGCCTTTTTCATAGTCCATCTGATTTAGAATGTTTGCTCCCTCCCTGTTGCTGTCAGGGGTCTAACCCAAACATAAACCTACCCTAAGAATCTTTTGTAATTACATCTTTGAGCAGATACTTTTAGATCCCACCACAGGTATTAGCAGTTATATGACATGAAGGAGCCTAGGACTCAGTCCCTGCCCATGTCAACTAAGATGGATTTGAAAAGACAAGACTAGATCCTGGCCAGATTGAAGAGCAGAGTGTGCAGTGTATTAAGCTGGTACATTTATATAATAAGAAGCATTTTAAAAGAATAATGAGGCACCATTTGCAAAACAAAGACAACAAGAACAAAAGAACTTAGACCAGGGAGAGATTAGTGTCCTCATGGGGGGTCCTTATGAGGCAGCTCTGTGGGGTGAGAGGGGTGGGCATTTAGGTTCCATGACTGGATCTGAGTGGAAGAAGCATTGAGCATAGTTTGGGTCGGGCAAGGAGCCACTGAGGGAAACTGGGGGTCCAGGGGAATCGAAGTGTGATGGTCCAAGGTGTGAAAGAAGAGGGGGCTGATAAGGGTAGGTGGGCACGACATGGGCGAGGAGTGCCACATTCAAAGCGTAAGATTTACTTGAATATGATTTAAAAAATTGACACTTGCTAGCTTAAATAAAAGAGTTTTAATGAAGACCCAAGTGTTCAGGGAGGGTCCCAGATGAGGAAGTAAAGGCAGCATAACCATGTGTTAGGACTTCAGTTTCCAAACACAGTGGTGCACACCTTAGAAAAATTTGAGAATCATCTTTATCATTTTTAAAAAATCATGGTAACATATATGTAGCATAAAATTTACCATTTTTTTTTCTATTGGTGCTGGGGATTGAGCCCAGGGCCCTGTGCATGCTAGACAAGTCCTTACCACTGAGCCACATTCCCCAGTCCTGCATTTTCACCATATTTAAGTGTATAATTCAATGACTTTAACTAGATTCACAGTGTTCACAACCATCTCCATTACCCGTTTCCAGAGCTCTTTGATTATCCCAAACAGAAACTCTACTTATTAAATAATCCCTCCTCATTTGCCACCCCCATCCTCTGTTCTTCTGTCTGTCTCTATAAACTAGCCTCATTTTGGGTGGAATCACGACACTCACCTTTTGGGGCCTGACTTCTTTCACTTAGCGGGTCTTCACGGTTCATCCAGTTGTAGTGTGTGTCAGCTTTCCCTTCCTTTTGAACAGTTGATGATATTCACCGTATCAACGTACCACATTTTGCTTATCCATTCGCCTGTTGATGGGTATTTGGGTTGTTTCCTCCTGTGGCTGTCATGATTGATGCCACTATGAACAGCACCATCTGTATCACCTTTCAGTTGCTGAAGGAGAAGTTACCATGGGCCTGTGTGCTCTTGCTGTGTCTCATGAGTTATTTCTCTCGGTACACGGCACTACTAGTACATGACGTTATTTTGCGACTCATTTACTTGATTGAACCTGTGTTCCTTGGGGGCTTTGTCTTCTTGTCCATCCTTGTATCCTCCTCTAGAACTGCATCTGGCACATGTAATAAGCACTTGTGGATCCAGATGCTGGGGTGCATGCCTGTGATGGCTCAGGAGGCTGAGGCAGGAGGATGGCAAGTTTGAGGCCAGCCTGGGTAACTTAGCAAAACCCTGTCTCAAAATAAATAAATAAATAAATAAATAGTGCTGGGATGTAGCTTAATGGTGAAGTGCCCCTGGGTTCAATCCCTCATACTAAATAAATAAATAAATAAAATTTGAGAATAAGTGGAAAAACTTATTGAGTAGCAAGAGATGGGGAGCCTCCTAGTCGGGCTCCTGTGCTCTCTTGAGACCTGGGAGGGTGTGGATTCCAGCTGTGATAGTTCTGTGGGCACAGCAGTGTTCTGTATAAGCAGCTGCTTTTCACTTTCTTTAAAAAAATATTTATTTATTTATTTTTATGTGGTGCTGAGGATCGAACCCAGTGCCTCACACATGTGCACAGCAAGTGCTCTGCCAGTGAGCTGCAGCCTCAACCCTGCTTTTCACTTTTGATCAAAGTTTTACAGAACCATTTTTGGTGTGGAAATGTACTGCCATGAGAATTCAGAGATGAGCTAATAAACTAGAAGTCAGGAGACCTAGAACCAACGGAGCTTTGCCATTGAATTAGCCCCAGGCCTTTGGAAACCTCCGATGTGTCATCGTGATTGCTGATGTCCCCTGCAGGGGCATTGCATGTTGCCTGCTCATAGTTCCTGTCATTGGGAGGTTATAACTTACTGTCTTGAGTAGAAGGTCTGGGGACTTTCTGAGTTCCTCATGGAGGAAGACACATTCAGTCCGGTGCATGGGCTAAGAAGGCATTATTGAGAGACTGTCTTCCTGTCCACAGCTCTGGACAGGGTGAAGAGGCCATCTCCGGAGTCCCAGAGCAGCAACCTGTGGGTCACTGTTGGCGTGGTCATCCCGGTGCTGGTGGTGATGGTGATCATCGTCATCCTCTACTGGAAGCTCTGCCGTACGGACAAGCTGGACTTTCAGCCTGACACTGTGGCCAACATTCAGCAGCGGCAGAAGGTAAGGGTCGGGATCACTTGAGCAACCTTGTGGGACAGATATGGGTCCAGGCTCTAGATATTGAAAGGTGGGGAGAGAGCTATTAAAGGAATCTTCTGGCTCAGGGGTGGTGTCCTCTGTCTTCGTGTATGCATAACTGAAAGCCCAGTTCTTCTATAGTGGACATATTCCAGGAAGGTGAGGCTGCAGAGGCTCAGAGGTGAAGTGAGCTCTGTGGTTTCATTTTTGAGAGTCAGTTGAAGATTATATCCATCCTGAGTCATTTGAAGATCTTATCAATTGAGGATCATGTCTATCCTTTGTATGAATTTGGATCTCTTTCACCCCTGGATATTTTCAGAGAAGAGGGGCCAAGGAAATTTTTCTCACATCAATGTATGTTTTCTTTCATACACAACTCCACCAGACAGCTCCTTCATTCTCTGTCCGCCATGTTGAATGCCCATCTATCCACTCCATCATTCAGAATTGTAAATACATGCCTTAAACTTCTAACTTCAAATATACGAGCAGACATTTATTTGGTATTCTTTCAGTGTTATCAGTTCTTTTTGTTGTTGTTGTTCTGAGTGTTGGTCTGCTGAGAGCAATACTATATGATTTTTCTTGCAATAAATAATACCCATAATGTATCAGCTGTGGTTTCCAATTTGGTTTTCTTTGAGAAGAGCAAGGCAATCTGAGTGCAGAATTTTCTTGATTTTTTTTTTATGCCTCCCTCCACCCCCCCCCATTTTGCAGTTTTTTAAAGTTGATTTGCCTACACCTAGTTCGACATCATTTTTTTTTAGCAGCCCATTTTACATGTGTCTTTTCCAAAGCACTCAACTTAGTTTTTATAGAAATAGCAATTCTCTTTTCACATGTATGTTTCAGCGGTATTCTATACTATCTTCATAGTCACATCAGGTTCAGAGCAAAGAAATTGGCTTTGGGTCAGTGTCTGGCTCATATGCCAGAGTCCTAGGGAAGAACTCACCACAGACATTCACCTCAGCATGAATATCCGTGTGTTTAGGGAGTGGAAGGTGGTGGTCAGTCTACTGTATTAACTTTTACCCTCTGTGGATCTCACAAATTTAGAGGACTCACCCCACTTTGATGGTACTTATTCTTTTGATTAAAAACAGGCAAGCAAAAGGCAAAAGAACAAGGAATAAGAGAACCTTTTAACTTCATTCTGATGATCTCAGTGTAGTTCTGCCTGTTATAAACCTTGACCTGCTGAATGAAAACACAGGTTTTATTTTTATTTTTATTTTATTTTTGTAAAAGTGAATGAAAATCGTCCATTTTTTTTCCTTATGAGTTCAGCAAAAATGCAAAATCTTAATTAGATATCAAGCTTATGGCTATGTTAGAATCATTTCATATGTAAATGTTATATTTCCACTCATCTCCATGTATTATGTACATGGTCTGCTTGGGTTGTTCTATTGTTATACCAGTGAATGGCATGGAAAAAACACACGACACCTGAATGATTCATAGTGTGAATTTCATTGTAAGAGGTTCAGCAATAGTTTGGGAGGTGTTATTTTTCTCATGAAAGGATTGTTATGGGGAAGTTTCAGCAGTGGAGCTGTGTGTGTAGGTCTTTGCTGGTCCATATCTCCTGATGCATGTACTCCTTGTGGAAACCCACCGTTCTTTGTTACTTCAATAAACTGAGAGGTCAGCGCATCTTGGGTTAAAAAAAGAATAGTCCCCCAGCTTTCTCCTTCTCTGATTTTACTTCTGAAATATTTTCATGTGTCAGACCATATTGTGAATCAGGTGGACAGAGTTTCAGATAGAACTTCTGGCCCTGGGGGCTGCTCTTTCTCTTTGGGTGGTGTGAGGACGTGTGATCCAAGTCGCCAGCCTTGTTGCGTCAAGGGTCTTCTGCAGGGAGGAGCCCGGGAGAGCCGTCGCAGCCAGCACAGGCTGTCGGGAGGCCAGGCCAGGGTCTTGTTTTGCTGGCATAAGGACCCACCTTGCCGATGTGGTCATGGATTTGCAAGAGGGGAACCATGACCTTCCTTTAGTTTAAAAACACACCTGTCTACCTCCTAGGTGCTCCTCCTAAGCCTGTATGGCCATAGCCAGGCTTGGGTGATCTGCGGGGCACTCTCCTGCCCTGGTACTTCAAGTTCCTTTTCCTGTGGCCTTCTGTTTTCTCTCTCCATTCTACTCACTCGGCCATTGCTCCAGCTCTCCAGAATCTTCCAGCGAATCCCAGAACTGTAAACATCTGGAGACAATAAATCTACTGATCTACAGTCCACACCCCCTTCCCCTATAATGAGAAGATGACCTCTTCAGATTGTCTGGGAGTAGGTTATTTTTGAAATATGATAACAGGGAGAGGCTGTTCTGTCGTGTTTTGAGGCAGGGCCCTTTCTTATTTCTAATAATAAAGGGAAAAAAATGCATTTAACTGTCCTTTATCTGTAATCTCTTTAATCTGTAGTCCTAAGTCATCATTTATCACTACCACCTGAAAAGCTGCTGCTCAGATCCTCTGCACCCTGAATGGCATTGGCTAGATACTGCAGGGCCTCAGGGAAACATGTTCCTTCTGATGGGGACAAGCCACACCCAGTTATTAGCTCTGATCCTAGTTATTGCCCAGATCTTAGCTCCTGAGTGATTGGCACCTGGGTTGCTCCTAAGGTCTGCACTGGGGGAGCTGCCTCAGACCATAACTTTACACTCACCAAAACTTCTGGGCCAGGTGGGTCAGGCTAAGTTACAAACACAAATAACATGTCATCACTGCCTTCCAGGGCCTTGGTGAGGGAGAGGAGCAGTCTCCCAAAAGCTGACACACAACAGTACAAGCAGGTTCTGTAGAGGGACCACTCCAGCAGGTGGCTGCCTCTGCCTTTGTGAGCAGGTGACACTGGGCTGCAGCTGAGAGGTGACAGAGGTGACATGGCTGCAGAAGGAATATGAGCAGCTCAGGCAAACCGGAGCAAGGTTGTAAGGAAAGGCACAGACCAAAGCCACTCAGACCCAGGTGGTGCAGTCAAGGCTGAGGGGCTTCAGGACATGGAGCGACTCTAAAAGGTACCAGGTACCGAAGACAGTCGGCAGCGACTTCAGGGCTCTCAGAAGGAACAGCAGCTTGGACAAGCTCCCATTAGCTGAGGTCCCTTGGGAAGCAGTGTAGAGTCAGTGACCTGAGGAGGAGCTGGCTGAGGGCTGCTTCCCTCCTGCTGGTCAGCCCGTGCCCCACGGCGGCCTGGAGTCTGTGCACAGGTACTCAGTTCACCCCACCAGCCGAGTGTGACCTGCCGTGGGCTTGGGTGGGAGACTCTTGGGTGCTGTCCAACAATTCATAGGCCCAGGGTTTCCATGGCCCCATGCTGGCTACGCTGAAGACAAACAGATGGCAACAGCTTTGCCTTCTAAGTGGAAACAGCATGGTGGTTAGGGTTTTTTTTTTTTTTTCAAATTATATAAGTCAAATAACCAATGATTGCAATGGCACTCTCTACATGATTGCAAATTTTTATTCAGACACTTTTGGGATTTGCTCTGTGGTTTCTATTGTCATCTTAAACTGTCCCTTCCCAGGGGGACAGGCTAACCCAAGTACTAGGGACTTCACTGTGTCTTGTTACATCTGTGTCTTATTATATTTATGACCCACGTGTCTTGAGATTCATCAGGCATCTCGCTGTTTGGCTGACCTGCTCCACCAGACCTCCCTGACTCCTTGGTGATGTGTTCCAGTGCGGCACAGACAATGTGGCTTGTTCCCTCCATAAAATAGGAAAGAAAGAAAGAACAAGAGCCTTCCTTCTTCAGAAAGAGCCGAGCCCTAACATGCATAGTGAAGACTAATTAATTTCCATTCCTCTTCTATAAAACATGGAGTGAAGCCTGTTTGGTATGTGAGGCTGGGCATGCAGTGCCAGCCAGACTGAACTCTAGATTATTTAAAAAAAAAAAGAAATGAAAAAACTAGGTACAATGATCCAGAAAATAGGGTTGAAACAAAAGGAGTGAATACCATACTGGGTATGTGTGTGTGTCTCCTCTTAATTTTTCCCTTCTGTGTGAGGATGGCTTTTGTGTATAAGTATGGATTAGTTGTCCCATTTCTGTTGTCACTGAAGATGGTGACTTGCCCAGCTGGTGAGAAGTGCAAGGATCTAACGGATATATTTAAAAATGTCAGCTGGATTCGACAGTAAGCCAATGGGATTTGTATACTTCATTTATGACACATAACCTTTTCTTGATTCCTCATAAAATTCAGAAAGTTTGGTGCTTCAGCTATCCTTTCTAAAGTTCATTAAGTCATCAAATATTTATTGAGGGTCTGTCCTGTGTCACGTCCTGTTGCTGACCTAACAAAACATTATATCCAAATTTATGTCTGTAACTATCTGATACCTGAGGACTCAACTGTTTACCTTAACTACTTGACGTTTCATCAACCAACAGCTATAATAATGCTGTCAGTCTCACTCGCCTGGCACTTTGGCATTTACGAAGTATCTTCACATCTATTTTCATGGTTGCTCCTTGCACGAGCCTGGCGGTTTCTCACGGAAGGCGTTTAGAGCCTACACTGGGGCTGTGCATGCAGCACTCGGAGACCTGCACTGTTTGTGTTTTACATCAGTCCCTTCGGAGGCCCTTGCTTTGTTACAGCAAACCCCGGAATGTGTAAAAGAGATTGTTGCCCAGTTCTTAGAGGCACGCACTTTCTTACTGGGAAATATACCAAAAAGGATTTTAGCAAGATTTATGAAATGATGGCAGTGGCGGGTGGATGACTGCTGATGCTGTTACTCTTTTGCTTAGGAGCACTTTGTTTAAGGAGATAAAAGGAGGTGCAGCTGGAGTAAAGCAACCCCATAACATCCCAAGCCCACGTTAGGATTTTTATCATCAGCTATGAGCAATCGGTGTCAAATTTCAATTTTCTGGCTATCTTAAAAAGGCTCGGCAGATGGACGCTCAGGAATTATATAGGTGGATTTGTACTTTCATTTCAAGATGAAAGCAATATTTATAATTATGTATTTCATAAATTAGGATATTTCAAAGCCCAAGAGAGGGAACTCCATCCTAATCAATGGACTAGATTTTTTAAAGTTTAGAAGTTAACTTCTGGCTTTCCTAATTTTTCCTCTTTATCTATTATGAATCTATACACCCGTAGATAGATGCTTCACTTTTAAGAGTACAGTTGAATCTTTATGGAAATTCACAGCATGTGAGGAAAAAGCATTAGACTGGTGGTAACTGTTGGGTTTCCAAAAGGCATGTAGCTGATGGCTGCTAAGTACATTATTTATGAATCCAAACATGTTGCTGTGTAGTTAATCTAAATGAGCACACAGGCATGTCAAACAAGCAGGGAGGGATCACGAGGCACAGTGAACAAGAGACTTGCACTGGTGAGCTGAACACAGTATCCACTAGTTATTTGAAAGAAGTTAATGAAAATTTAAACTGCAAGTCTGAATAAATGCTCGGGAAGGTGCACAGCCCTATCTTAGCTCTATTAATTTTTTTTTTAAGTTTGAAATTGTAATTTTGATCTTTCAGACATGAATGTGGAAATTTTCACTCCTTTGTCTTTTGATGCAAAACACAGCATTAGGACCCGGAAAGCCCGTGCACAGGTGCTGGGAGCTCTTTAGTTGCTGAGGACCATAAGCTGTGGCCAGCATGCACCCCAGGGCGCCTCCGTATTTCCCTGCAGAAGGTTGAATAGATCTTGACGGTCCTCTTCTGAGCTAGACACATAAAACACAAGGCCTGGCCATGAGCTTGTCCCTGGGACAAAATGAGACAGTGCCTTAGGAGTTCTTCCTGCTGTCCTTTTGGTTCTCATTGATTCCTCCACTGGAGGGAGGCATCTTTGATGGTTGGGAGGTGCTAGAGGTGACGTTGTTAAATAGAAGCAACCTGCGGCCCCCTCTGCAGAATGTCTGAATTCAGAGCATCCTGGACATGGATTGATGATCCTGTTTCTTGTCTGCATTTCTCCCTTAAAGAAATATGTACAATACGGGGATGAGGCAGCCGTGCCACAGGTTTATTGTGCTTCAGTGAAAGGGATCTGCCAAGCACCCTGTTGTCTTTTCATTTGATGTCCTCACCTCTACACAGAGCACCCCAGGAAGGTTAGAGGCAGGGGTGTCTCCTGTAAGGTAGGAGAAAAGAGAATCCTGCTCCTAGGAAAATGTTTGTCAACCCCAGGGGTCCCCCAGTAGACCAATTCAAGACTGCTGTGCTAACCCAGTTTCCTGGATGAGGAAAATAATTTATGGGGGTGGAGGAGGTTGTGGAGTGGTAGGTCTGGGTTCATGGTTTGCAAAGCAGTGCTCCTGAGCCTAGGCGTGTGGTGCCCAGGGCCTGTCTTGTAACAGGATCTTATTAATTATAGAATGTAGGCTGTCAGTCTTTGCGCCTTTTGTTTCCAAGCAACTCTTTGTAAACTCTCTTTACAGTAAGTTTTGTCACCCTCTGCTGGCAGAAATCATTATTGCAGACCGCTTTCTTTCTACCGTTGATCCTAGATTTCTAGCATTAGAAGGCGCGCATGCATGCTTGTAATCCCAGCCACTCCAGAGGCTGAGACGGAGGGTCACAAGTTGCAGGTTGGCCTCAGCGATTTAGTAAGACTACAGCAACTTAGCAAGACCCTGTCTCAAAATAAAAACAAGAACAGGGAATGTAGCTCTCTAGCAAAGTGTCCCTGAGTTCAACCCCCAGGAACCCAAATAAACAAACAAAAAAAAAGGAGGGGGGGGAAGACATTAGGTGACACCCCTAAGCCACTGGTGTGCTTAAAGTTAACACAAATATGACAAAACTTTTTGCTTCTACTTGTAGTATATTGTCTAAAATCACTCCAGAGACTTGGACGGTCGTTTGACTGCTAGGACTATCTGCAGGTGTGGATAGTCTGCCCTGGAGGACTTTGGTTTTCCTGTGGTGTTCCTGCTGAGGACACTGCTCAGGGTGACTCTTCTGGCAGTTTATTTCCCTATAATCCTGGTGGCTCTTTGAGTATCATGAAAATAGGGTCATCAAAAATGGTGCCCTGGGCCTAAGGGTGCGACTCAGTGGTAGAGCTCTTGCCTAGCTTGCCCGAGGCTAAGTTCCTTCTGCAGCCCTGAAAAAGAAAGCGTCTCTGGGTACCTCAGATGTCTCCTACCTCATCACAGGTCCAGAAACTGAGGCCCGGATCTGAGGTGTGGGCTCATGGGTCTGTTGTAGGTTTTGGATCGGTTGTTATCATATGCCTGGGGGGGGGGTGCCCCTGCCCCCACCGGTGTGAGTGTGGACTCTTCCTGAAGACCCCATCCTCCTTCAGCTTTGTGCTCCCATTAAGTCTGTTGACCATTCCTTTCTAGAGATTCTTTACTCTTTGGCTTCGATTCCACTGAACTTTCCAAATTCTTCTCTTTTCCGGAAGCCACCTTCTGTTTTCTTGCCTGCTTCCTTCTCTCTTCTTAGCCGCACACTAGGAGATGTTCTCCAACACTGTATCTGTAGAGCCTGGATTCATTTTGAAAGGCCCCAGCTCCCCTGCATGCCACCTCCGGACAGGTGGCGTTCAGCCTTCCCTCTCAGCCCACGGGTCCCTAAGCCACTGCCCTCTGTCTCCAGCTGCACCGAGCTGCTTTCCTCTGGGACCTTTCCTTCCATCTCCACTTAGCCCGTTTGAGGCGCGTCGTTTTATCCCCTCCGTCGTCATTCCCGCAGGACTCGCCGCTTGCCCCTGCCGTTTGGGATGCCCTGTCTGAAACTTCTGGCCATCGCTGGTCTGTTTGCTCTCCTTTTGTCTCTTGTGTCCTTCTGGTTTCCATCCCCTTCCTTCTGCATCCTGCTGCTACCTAGCCCTTCCCATTTTCTTGGCAAAGATTTTGGCTCAAGCCTTTGTGGTCTCATGCACGTGGCATCACGGGGCCTCTTGCTGTTCCCTTGGGTCCTGTCTGCTTGGATCTTAGAACATTTAGTGGTCTCCTGATTGCCCAGGAGCTGGCACTTGGGGATGTGTGTGCGCAGGTTGCCTTCTCTCCTTCTCCCCCGCTTCTACATCCCGGCCCCTCTAGAGCAGCTGATGTGACCTCTTTGGGCCTCAGGATTCTCTGGCCCTGACATAATCAGGAACATGTTCTTTGTAGTTTTGCCTGTCCTCAGGGCCTGCCTTAAGTCCCTCTTTCCCTATAAAGAGTGTGTCACCTTGTCTCTCTCTCGCTAGTCCACTGTGACAAGGGGGCAGGTGCTGTGTTGGAATGGCTTTTCTATTACGGTCTAGCTATTTAATCCTTGTACTCTTGTTTAATCCTTTGCTGGCATCTGTCACAAATTCTAGGAATAAACAGAACCTTGTACACAGTCAATGTCATAGAGACGCTTGTTGGGTTGGGTCGGTGGCCTGGGTGGCACAGTCTTGGGTTGGAGTTGTGCTCGTCTTGTCAAGCCCTCGTAACCTCTCTTCACAGTGCTCAGATTTCACAGTAACCACCTTGTTTGTGTGTCTGCCTGTGTGTGTGTGTTTTAGCTGCAGATCCCTAGCGTGAAGGGCTTCGATTTTGCTAAGCAGCATCTGGGTCAGCACAATAAAGATGACATCTTGATTATTCATGAGCCAGCACCACTGCCAGGACCTGTGAAGGACCACACCACGCCCTCTGAAAATGGAGACGTGCCAAGCCCCAAGTCAAAGATCCCTGCCAAGAACGTCCGCCATAGAGGAAGGTTATTATTGGGCTTTCTGGATTGTTCTTTGTTGCAGAGCGTGTTTCTGTTCTCAGGTTGTCCATTGCCAGTCTCAGCAGGGCTGAGGGTGAGTATCGCCCAGTGTCTGAAGCCTCGGATCCTGATGACTTGCCCAGAGGCACACACGGACTTGGGAGTGCTTTCACCTGCTCCGCAGGGTTACCAAAGGAGGCTGTGCAATTATTTCCTCAAGTTATTCAAGGTTAGGAATCACCACCTGTGACACTTTGGCAGTAGTGGCCTCAGATAGGATTAGGGACAGGCCAACTCCAGCGTGTCTGTTCTAGGTGAGCGTGGGAGGCGGTCTGGTGATCATAAGCAAAGGATGGATACAAAGCTCAAAGCGCACAGCCCACCTACATGCTTGGCCAGCGCAGGCTTCTTTGCTCTTGCATCACCGCTTTGTCTACAGGTGACCCTCATCACGTCCTCCAGTGAGTTTTGCTTTTCTCCAGCTTCCCACGCTGTCACCTTTGTTAGCACAATGCACAGGACTCTCCACAGCCTCCCAGCTCCCCATTCCTATTTCCAATACTTCCTATCAATCAATCAATCAATAAATAAAGCATATGGAGCATTACTTAATTTTCCAAACTACCAGTAAGTCCATGGCTGCCCTCTGATCCTGTGAGATTGGCTGGAGTCATGTAACAGGAGACCAAGTTCACACTCAGGTTTTATGGGACTGACTTGAGGTCATAGCACCACCAGGATTTGGCTACTGACGCCTCAGATTACCAGCCGGCCTCTGAGCTTCGGACTGTAACTCTCAGTTAGCTGTGGGGAGTGAAAACGTGTGTGGCCACACCAACATTCAAAACAATGCCATCATTTCCATCTGATCAGAAAACCCACCCCAGGTGTCTGACCTGGTTATAAGAATGTAACGGATGTAAGTGCATGATCTTTGTGAAAGAAAATGAATTATGCAGAGACATGCTACTTGCTTAATTATTTTCCAGGCTAAGAATGAATTGAATTATTAAAAATGATTTAATATACTAGTAAAGCTTGGCAGGATATTTTTTTCTCCCCAGTAGCCTCCTCATAAACTTCTAGTCCTATCATCTCAGTTGTTTTATAGCCATGGATTCAAACTACTGTGAATCAAAAATACTCAGGAAAAAAATACTCAGGAAAAAATACTGCATCTGTATTGGACTTGTACAGGCTTTCCTTTCATATCATCATTTCCCCCCAAAAAATCTAGTATGACAACTATTTATGTAGCATTTACATTGTAAGAGGGATTATGGGTAACTTAGGATGTGCATAGGTTTGATATAGATTTGTGTCATTTGATGTCAAGGACTTGAGTACCATGGATTTTGGTGTCCGTGGGGATTCTATAAGCAACGCCCCATGATACTGAGGGGTGAATGTATACCTTAGCATCCCTCAGGGCACCAGAATGTCTTGACACTTCATGTTGTGGTAGAAGCCAGGGAGCCCGCAGAGGCAGTGTGCTAACTGGTTAAGGATTTTCCCAGCCTGGGGCAGCCTGGGTGCTGTGATACCCTTGATGTTTGTATTTAGAACCAATCTCAGTAGCGCTTGTCATCCTGCTGTTGTGAGTTTAGGAGTCTTACATAATCTAGAGTCAACTGAGGCAGCTGCAGAACTATCCTGGCCTCCTAGGGATTCTCAGTGGACCTCCCAGTGGACCCTAAACCAGGCCCAAACCCCAGATGCTCTTTGATCCAACTTGTGTTAGACCCAGATTGCCTGTCTAGAACTGACCCGGGGCCAGGAGCTAGTCGTAGGCCTCGGTAGCTGTGGGACTGTCCTCCACTGTGGCACTTATTTCCAGCCTTTGTTGAATTGCAACCTCCAAGCCAGTTAGTAAGCTTTTCCCTCGTCTTCAGCACATGGTGACTGAATAGTGTTGTCCCGGTCCTTGGACGGTTTCCTCTCTCCCGCTTTTGCCTGGAAGCCTGATTTCCATGACTGAATTAATGTGACCTTTTTCTTTTGTTCCTTCTTGCTTCTGATGTTTGCAATTTGTTTTGTGCCTGCAGAGTCTCCCCCTCGGATGCCGACTCCACCGTCAGCGAGGAGTCCAGTGAGAGGGACGTGGGGGACAAGACGCCAGCAGCGGTCCACGAGAGCAAGGCCCACAGAGCCCCACAGAGCGGTCTGTGACTCTCCTCCTCCTCCATGTTACAGGGAGTCGTGAGGTTCCCGCAGGCCAGGGTGTGACCCTACTTCAAAGGATGAACCTTTAAAAAAGACCCGTGAAATGGGGTGCAGTTCTCAGCATTAATTGTCACCTCTGAACATTACAGGGGTGTCTGCTTTGAGGCAAGGGAGGCAATTTTCCTGCCTGAAGGACAAGAAGGAGGAACTACACAGAAATCATAGTCAAAAAAGTGTCCCCAGAATTCAGTGACTTTCTTAGGATTCAAGGATTTCACAGCTGTCCCTGTCTGTTCCGTTTGTCCGGTGCCTCGACCTTTTGTATGATCAGACTCCGTTTTAGTGTCCCTGCACTGGGAGTCAGATAGAGCTTTGGAGACCAGGGATGGAGTGAATTTCCCTCCCATTCCAAGGGGCAGTGCCATGAGACTCATGCCTGTCTGAACCTGTGCCCAGAGGCCTTCCCAGCCTTGAGAGCAGTTTTTGGAATGATGGCAAGTCAGCTTGACTTTAGTTTAATTGATTCTGTTAAATACATGTGCCCATTCAGCTTCTGTCTTGCCTGGAGATTTATTTATATTTTATCGTTGTATTTCAATGATGCAGACATGATTGGGAAGCCTCAGGCTACTATTTTCAATAGTAATTTTTATATTTTTAAAAATCACATGTTTTTCTGTATGAAAATGCAGCACAGAGTGATCTGCATTGGTAGATGAACAGATTCTGGATGGAAGGCCAAGGGCCTCTGCTATCTCTGATATGTCTATGACTTTGCAGGTCCCTTAGGCCCTGAGGCTCCTGTGGGACTAAAGCAGCCAATCCTTGAGATGCCTGTCAGCTGGTTTTCGTATAATGTTAAAGAAATACCCCCTCAGAATAAGGGAAGAGATTTTTTTTCCTTTGGATTCCATTTTACAGACTCTTAAAAATTATTTAGCACCATGGTAACATGTGCTGTATTTCAGAAAGGATTAAAATCTAGTTTTGATTCTGTGAAAGAAACATTTGGGGGGAGAAATCAAAGCGCTCTAGATTTCCTCAATTTCTGTTGATTGCTTACCTCAGGAAATCTTGCTATTAGTTCCTGCACTTAACTCCTTCCAAGAGTGTCACAACCAGTGAATTCTATAAGAATCAGACACCACTCTCAGCATGCATTACGAATCCAAGTGGAGAGCACTTCAGCTGGGGGACAGGGAGCTGGCTGGATGGAGGGGGTGGATCAGATGTCCCTGTGAGCAGCAGATGCTCAGATGCTGCTGCCATAGTTGGAAGGGACACCAGTCTGTGCATTATTTTCATGCTTTAGAAAGATGGTTTTCTCACTACCAATAGAAATTCACTTTAAAAACTTTGTTTCTCCTTGAAAGGCATCATAAGATAGCTTTCTACAGAGGTATTTTCTTGCTTGCATAGAATTTTGTTAACTAAGTTGGACACAGTGGTGCACACCTGTTATCCCAGTGACTTGGGAGGCTGAGGCAGGAGGATCACAAGTTCAAAGCCAACTTCAGCGACTTAGTGAAGCACTTAGCAACTCAGTGACACCCTGTCTCTAAAAAAAAATATTTTAAAAATGGCTGGGATTGTGACCCACTGGTTAAGTGTCCCTAGATTCATAGATTCAATCCCTAGTATTGGAAAAAAAAAAGAAAGAAAGAAAGAATGAAAGAAAGAAATTTGTTAAATATAAAAAAGAGTCTGGGCTGATATCATAGCTTTTTAATTATCTTATATGTCACATAAAAATCTTCTTTTTGTAAGTCAAATGAAATTAAAAAGTAATGAAGGTGGGAGGTTGTTTGAGAACTGCTGTCCTGGGACCAGTGTTGCCTCTGACCCCTGTTAGTGCAATATCCACTGGCTCTCTTTAGGCTTCTTGGCAAGGCTTTTGATGGCTGTCCCAAGTTATCTGGCATTTTGAGGCCCAACTTGCAGTGAAGCTCAGAGAAGACCTCTTTGGTTTTGGTAAATTTGAGTTGTGCTTTATTTCCTGTGCAGCTGTTTGGAAGGGGACTGCCGTGCAGGGACCCTTCAGAGATGACGTACAGGCAGATCTGCAGTTAAGATCAGCTGTATCATTAGCACGGAGGCCACCTTTATTGAGGGTGTGAAGGTGCAGGAGGTATTGTGCACTCTGTATGGGAGACAGCAGCTATTCTCAGGGTGTGGTCAGGGCTGCAGTCCTGTGTCCCTGCCTGACTAGTTTCTCTCTCTGCCCCTTTATTGTCAGGATTATATTAAGTAGATAAGGACTATGAAATGCTGAGTGTTTTTTTTTTTTAATGCTGTTCTTATTAGGTTGCATCTGTGTAAGTGTGTGACTTTTAAGTAGCCATAGCTTTATTATTTAAATTCCGCAAACTCCAAGTTTTGGAATCTTATGTGGGAACAAAGCCAATATTTACTCTTGAACATGCTAATGAGTTCACCAAGCAAATCAATAGTCTTTACCAGATCAACTACATAAAACATGGAGATTTTTTGAGTAGTATCAGAGTGCCCATTTATGAAATGATGGAGATCATATAGTTCTCTTGTCACTAAGCAGATCCCCAGAGGCCTCTTCAAGAAAACATCCTGTCAACTCACTTGGTCATGCATGCAACAGGGCTTGCTGGGTGCTGGGGTATAGTGGAGAAGGTGAGATAAGTGTGATCACACTTGGTGGTGTGTGCCTGAGGGTCACCAGCAGTAGTAAGGGTGCAGTGTACATGTGTTTATCTGTAGATAGTGGAATAGTATTCCCAAACAAATCGCTGGTGCTTCAGCATTTCGGTAATGCCTTTTCCTCTCTCATTCTGCTTGGATGACCTTATCCTATGTGATCCAGGATTGTGCTCTTTCTCTTTTTGTCTTAAAAATGCAGAAATTTATTTTTTCTTTCCTTTAAAAATTATAAATGTATATAACTTTAATTATAATATGATGTTTAATATTTGCATACACTGTAGGATGGTAAGATTTATTTCACATTTACCTTTTTACTTTGTGGTGAGAATACTTAAAATCTAATCTTGTAACAATTTTCAGATATACAGCATATTGTTATTAATTTTAGTCACCATAATATACTATCTGTCTAGTTGAATTTCTATCATTTAAAAAAAAAAAAAACAACTACTAATGTTGGAAGAAAAGGATGTTTTAATCCAGAGTCCTTACTGTGTGGGTCCCCTCAGGCTGAAAGCCACATAGCATTATTCTCGTATGTGTTCACTGTACTCCCCATGGGTCATATTATCCAGGGAGTTTGTTTTTTTAATTTGTGTAATGCATAGCAAACAACTTTTTTTATACATAATTTAAAAAACACTTTTCGGCCATTTGAAGGGCTGGGTCCCAGCTGTGGAAGCTGGAGGGTTCTCTCTACTTCCCACTCTGTTCTCCTGCACAGTCCTTCAGCTCGGCCTGTGCATCCTGTGCTCCTCTGGTTGCAGGTGGTGAGTGACAAAGCAAGGATCTCCAAGTGCAGTGGGGAGGGGAGGGCTGGGACCCTGTGCAGGAGCCCAGTCACAGGCTGCAGCATGCATGGAACCTGGGCAGGGAGCACAGAACAAAGGGGAGAGGCCTTTTCTTTCTGTCACCTTTGCTTGAGGCTCAAAGGCAGCTCCGAGCTCTCTACCACCCTAGGGGAGAGAGATCTCACCTTTGGGTATCAATAGCTTAAGGGGCTACCCTTTGTTGCTTTAGAAGTTTGGGTCAGCAAGGTTAGAATGTCTGGCAAAGTAATCCTCTCCTTTCAGGCAGTATGCCTGCAACTGAAGTGGCTGCTACTGGATGAAAGGAGGTACAAACTGTCGGGCTGCCTGAAGGTGTGCAGTAAGGAAAGAATGCCCGAGAACAGCTGGGGTCCAGAGAGCTGGGCCTCCTCACCAAGAGACACTGCTCACTCGGAGGTGTAGGAAGGATTTCTAATTGCTTGGCATAACCCGTGAATACAATTCAAATTGAGAGAAAGTACAAAAGTCTCTCTACCACCCGATGTACATTCCTTATGTAATCATCTTCTATTTCTCACTGCTTTGCTCTTGATCTTTTTTTACACTTGGAGAAACCTCTAGATTTTTCACTTTTGCTTGAGGTTTCAAACCTTAGGCTTAAAAAAACACAAAAAACACAGTCTCCCATGCTCTCATGCCTTCTACTGGCCATTTATTTTTAAAGCAGTGTCTGAATTTCAAGAGGTGAGCCTGGCCTGTTAGAGGGAGGGCATCAGTTGATCTTCGTGTCATTAGCCAGCTCTTCCCATCTACTCAGCTCCTCTTTCTCTTTCTTTCTCTCCCTTTTCTTTTTGAAACTTGAAAATTTATTGGGATTATTCTTACTACAGAAAATACTCATTAGAGAAAATTCTCATTACAGAAAATATAAGAAAGGCACCCATTTTTACCAAGATCCAGTCTCTTTAAATGTTTTTTTCTTTTTTTAAACACTTAAATTTCTTCAATTTCACAGATTCTTTTTGTAAAAGTTATTGTAGTAAAATATCATATTATAAAATTTACCCTTTTAGCGTTTTTTTTTTTTTGTGGTACCAGGGATTGAACTCGGGTGCACTCAACCACTGAGCCACACCCCCAGCCCTTTCTAAAATATTTTATTTAGAGACAGGGTCTCATTGAGTTGCTTAAGGGCCTTGCTAAATTGCTGAGGCTGGCTTTGACCTCACCTCCCTGCCTCAGTCTCCCAAGCTGCTGGGATTACAGACATATACCGCCATGCCTGGCACCCTATTAGCCATTTTTAAGTGCTTTTTAATCTCTCTTCTTTTGATTTCCTATGTGCAGCAGGTTTTTCTTCTCAAGCATCTTCAACTTTTCTTATCAAGATGGGAAAGACAGACAATTTTTAATAGTACATGCCTGAGCGTTCACAGTCCCACAGTCTTTTATTTTCTCAATTGCGTAGTCAGCCCTCTGTATCCGTGGGTTCCACATTCAACCAACCATAGATGGAAAATATTTTTTAAAAAATTACATCTGTATTAAGCATGTAGAGACTCTTATTATTAGTAGTAATAATGATAGAGTAGAGCAAGTATTTACACAGCACTTACATTGTATTATGTATTTTAGGTAATGTAGAGATCATTTAAAGTATACGGGAGGATATACATAGATTCAATGCAAACACTCTGCCATTTTATGGAAGGGACTTGAGTGTTTGCAGATTCTGATACCTACAGAGGTCCTGGGACTGATACCCTGTTGGTACTCACTTAATATCGCTCTAGGAAGCTTCTTCCTAGGTCAGCTCAGAACTGCTATAAATGCTTTTTTCCTAGAAGGTCTGTAAACTGCTTTTTGACCTGCTGAGCAACTTGAGAATCCTTCTATCCTCCCCCACCCTTTTTTTTTAACTGAAGATTTGAACCACATTTAGACAAAACAGAGTAATTTTTTTACACTTTATAATAATGATTTTATCACATCTTTCCTAAGAGTCTGTAATTTTTAGTGAAACTGAAAGAGACAATGTTTAACTCATATCATTTAAGTTCAAATAGAGAAATTTTAAGTATGCCACCATCAGCATGGGGACATAGTTTTAGTCAGAGGACCTGTCTGAGGATTGTTTCAGGCAGGGTCCATAATTTTGAGTGTGCTATTTCTTAAGGTGACTTTGTTTTTCTTTCTTTCTGTGCTAGGTCCCCCCTTGCCCAGTTCAGGGAATGAGCAGCATTCCTCTGCCTCCATCTTTGAGCATGTGGACAGGATTTCGCGCTCCTCAGAGGCCAGCCGGCGGGTTCCCAACAAGATCCAGCTGATTGCCATGCAGCCCATTCCAGCACCCCCAGTCCAGCACCCCATCCTGGCTGACCGAGTGGCAGAAACCAACAAAATCAACAAAGAGGTATTATGAACACCCCCTCCCTATTTTCTTTCTTTTTTTTGGGGGGGGGTACTAGAGATTGAACCTTGGGGTACTCTATCTCTGAGCTACATCCTCAACCCCTTTTTATTTATGTATTTTGAGACAAGGCCTTACTAAATTGCTGAAGAGGGGCTGGTCTTGGTCTTGAACTTGAGATCCTCCTGCCCCATCTTCTCGAGCAGCTGAGATTACAAGCATGTACCACCTTGCCCAGCCACTCTAGCACTTTTAAAATTTTGTTTTGAAACAAGGTCTAACTAAGCTGCCCAGACTGGCCTCTCTAACTTAGAATCCTTCTGCCTCACCCTTCTGAGTAGCTGGGATTACAGGTATGCACCATCCGGCTAATACCCCCCCCCCCCCCTTTTAAGCATATTAATAAAAAAATACATTCTGATTTTTGTCAATGCTTTAAAAAGAGTGAAAGATACAGTGTCAAAAGGTCACAAAGGCTTGAGCTGCTGACAACTGTGCTTAATTTAAAACATGCTTAGTTTTTAAAGATCAGATGATGGTCAGGGACACTCTTAGACACATTGGCAGATGTGCAGAAGGGAGTAACCCAGGAACCCTGAGACTGCTGTCCCCAGAAAATCCTGCTTTGGCTCTGGGTCAGGTCCCACATGGCCACTGATGATGTTGCTATTTTTGAGGATGTTACTCTTTGTGAGGAGGGGATCATACCTCAGGGAATGTGTTTCCCTAAGCTGGGTAATTATCCATAAATGGATATTCTACAGTATAATGCACATACCTTCCTTGAATGTCAGTTTTACTTTAAGAATCTCTAAAGTAGTGATAATATTGAGTATGGAAAATATTTATTATGTTCTCAGGGCATATCCTAACTTTTGATCAGACAAGTGTGGGCTCAAGAGTTGTCACAAGCTGATTTCCAAGGTTTGGGCATTTCCCCTGCTTTGGGTAGAGGACGCCACTGCCCTTCCTTCCTGCAGGTGGATCTCATTTATTTTCCCCCAGCCTCCTTCAGAGTGTTGGGTCTCACCATCACTCTGTCACCTCCCTTAGCGCCTGCCTGGAGCCCATAGACAGCAAGTCCAGGGTTGGGGAGAGCATGGCATGCCTAAAAGGCCAGGTGGATAGCATGTCCAGAGACCTCTGAGAACACCCATCTGCCGCCCCCCTGCCACCCCTGCTCAGATTCAGACGGCGCTGCGGCACAAGTCCGAGATCGAGCACCATCGCAATAAGATCCGGCTGCGCGCCAAGCGCCGCGGCCACTACGAGTTCCCGGTGGTGGACGACCTGTCCTCGGGCGACACCAAGGAACGGCACCGCGTGTACCGCAGGGCACAGATGCAGATCGACAAGATCCTGGACCCCACGGCCAGCGTGCCTTCGGTGTTCATAGAGCCCAGGAAGAGGTGGGCCTGGGCCCTGCCTGGGAGGTGGGGGAGGGCGTGGGGACTTGCTCTAAGAGCATGGATAGATGGGGATGTCCCTCTGTGTTGTAGGGCCCAGGACAAAAGGCCCTGTCCATTTTTTCATGAAAGTTCCTGAGAATGAGTTGAGGAGGGTTGTGCCAGGAGGGCTATTTCTGCTTCTAGGAAGGCCGAGGTCAGCCTGGGGCGCTTCATGCCGAAGGCTGCGGTGGGTTTTCTCCTCTGCATCTCCGGTTGCCTCTGCACGGATCCTCTGGGTTTAAGAACACACACAAAACTGAGCTCCAGCAGCCTCTTCCATGGCCTCCCTGGCCCTTCCTCCCCTCCCCTCCCCTCCCCTCCCCTCCGGTACTGCTGTCGAGCTGTCCAGGTGGATCTCACTTATTTTCCCACAGCCTCCTGCAGAGCGTTGGGTCTCACCTTCCCCTGGTCTTCCCAACTCTGCCCCTTGGCTCACATATGTTCTTGAAGTACGGCTCTCATTTGTGTCTTCCTGTGCCCAATGTGAGTCGGGTTTTGTAGCCTGCCTTGTGGAATCTGTCTGGAGCGCTTGGCTTGCCTCTCCGTGCAGCTCCTCCCGTTGTCCCGTAGATGGCCCCTCATGCTCCCTCAGATCTTCACCTGCCTCCCGTTTCTGGCCTTGGTTGATTGGATGCTGTTTCTGTGCCTCCCATTTGCTTCCCGTGGCCCTGCCCAGCCTCAGATCCCACTCTTCAAGATCTGCTTCAGGCCCCGGTAGCTGATGGTGGTATTAAGCTCCCCCCGACCTCTCCCTTTTCTGAACCATCTGTGTCACTAGATAGTGTCCTGATTACATGATTGTTGGTAGGTCAGCTCTGCAGGGCCCAGACTGGGGCTGCCATGTTGTCTGTCTCCTCGAGCCTCTTACCGTGGTTAGCACATAGTAGGCCCTCAGAAGATACTTAGTGTATGGAGGGGGTAACTTAGCGGCAGGAGGCTTATTTCCTATGAAGATAATTTCTGTTTATTCTGGCAGCTCACGAATAAAACGCTCTCCTAAGCCACGCCGGAAACACCAGGTCAATGGATGCCCTGCTGATGCGGAGAAGGACAGGCTCATCACCACAGACAGCGATGGCACCTACAAACGGCCTCCCGGCGTGCACAACTCAGCCTACATTGGATGCCCAGTGCGTAATGCCGAACTCTCTGGAAATGGGGTGGGGCTCAAGGAAAAGACCCTGATAGGAAAGGATGATGAACAGTGCTGGCTGCTGCCCCATGGGACATCGATGTTGGGGCCAGCAGGGCCCTGAAGTACATGGTTGGGGCTAGGCCACTCCTGTCATGTCAACCTGGGGCTGCTGGGTAATATCCCTGAAAAACTAGCCCTGTCCTCAGGCTTCAGAATGGGAGCTGGTTGAGGTTAATTGGGAGGGGGTGGGGAAGGTGTCCAGGTTTGTCTCCCCCTCCACTCCCTGTGAGTTTTTTTTTTTGGTTTCTTGGTGACAGGGTTGTGCTCCCCTTCTGCTCCCAGAGTGCTAAGAAGATGGTGCATTTGTTGAGCCTTTGCTGATTTCAGTATCCCATATTCAAAATGTTGGGGACATTTTCAGATTTTGGAATTTTTTAGGTTTTGGAATATTTGCATGGACTTTGCTGGTTCAATTTCTCTAATCTGAGAATCCAAAGTCTGCAATGCCCCCAAATCCCAAACTGAGCATCAGGGCAGAACTCAGTAAGTTACAGATTCTAGTACATTTCATATTTATGAATTATGGATGTTCAACCTTTATATATATTTCTTGTTTTTGTTTTTGCAGTGCTGGGGATTAGGGTCAAAGCCAGGGCCCCACATGTGCTAGGCAAGCGTTCTGCCCCTGAGCTACATCCCAGGACTTTTTTTTTTTTTTTTTTAATTTTGAGACAGGGTTTCACTGACTTGCTGAGGCTGGCTTCAAACTTGTAATCCTCCTGCCTCAGCCTCCTGAGTAACTGAGGATTACTGGTATGTGCCACCTCACACCAGTAATGTATGCATTTCTTATTTTTATGGGAGAATGAACTTAGAAATTAAGAAACGAAGAAGTAAACACTTTTTTTTCCCCAGTGCTTTATTCACTCAAATTACTGAAAGAGGCACAGAGTTGCTCGAAGTGTTGGAGGCAGACATTGCTAGCATTAAGACACATGTACACAGGCTCCATTGAGTAGGACAGCCGTCCTCCCTGAGGGCTATGAGAAGTACAGACACAAGAGGGGGACAGCCAGACACAGCTGACTCTGGCAGTGCCGGGAAACACAATGGCCTCAGCCTGGTGCCAGGGAGCAGCCCTGCCGTGTTGCCCCAGGCCCTGTCCTCCTTCTGCAGGCGAAAGGACAGAGCCATCCTTGTTTAGAGAATGGTTAGCAAAAGGCTTGTCCTTGGGGAAGGCATTTGTGATTGTACATGACCAGTCTAGATACTTATGTAACCAGCCATTTCTTGAAGTTTCTATTTTTTTCTCCTAAATTGTACAAATAATGCTGACCCTCAATAGAATACCACAGATGTATGAGAACTGTACTGTCATGGAGCCCAAGTGTAATTGAACCCTGATCCCCTGAAAGAAATGGGTTTTCTTTGGAAACTTACTGTGTTTCTGGTGTCCTTTAAGTCGACTGACTGTGGCCTTCATAATCTCCTCATGAGGATCCTGCGATTTTAGAGTTGGAAGGTCTGTAAATTGGACCACTCTCCTCCTCAGTGGGATTGAGTCCCCTGGTCTCTGGGTCTTTCTGAGCCATCGCCGGGCCTTCTTGCAGCAGATGATGCTCTTGTGTTGCAGAGGGGTTTTGGAAAGTGTCTGGACGCCAGTGGTGTTCGACTTCACTGTCCCCTGGGGATCCAAGATTGCCAGCCACCTGGAACTTTTGTCGGTCTGAAGCAGGGACTTCCTGAGGTGTGGAACTGACCACAGAAGAAGCAGGGGCATTCCTCCTTCCCCTCCACTTCCCTGGGCAGCCTGGGGTGCTTGGCCCCCACAGGAGGGCCTTGCTCCCCTGCCCTTCTGAGTTCCTCTTCTCTTGATCTCTTCATTCACCTTCATTGACCCCAAATGAAGCTTCCATCATGATGGTCTGGACCCTCCTTTTAATTAAATAAGTAAAATTTTTTGAAACAGCTTCTCTTTTTATGTTGCCCAGGCTGGCTTCAGACTCCTGGGCTCATGCAGTTCTCTTGCTCCGGCTCCCAAGGAACTGGGATGTCACACGTTCTGGCCATCACATCTGGCTTGGACCCTCCCTTTCTTCTTCAATTTTTTTCCTTCACAGAAAGCGCAGAAGTTCCTCCTGGAGCTGGCGGAGAGAACACCAGCCTGGAAACCACAGCTCGCCTGTATCCCTGAGGCTCCTCTTTCAAAATTCCCCAAAGGAAACTCTTCTTCCTCAGATGAGCTTACTTTTCACTTTCTCTCCCTAAAAATCCTGAAATGCATCCTTAGGGAGACATTTCCTCTCTCAGAACTCACCTTTTCTTAGGTAGCTTTTCATCCTCAAAACCATACAGGTCCTCCATGGCTTCGGGTGATCTTGACTTTTCCACTTTCCCTTCAAAATATCTTCCCTTGAGGTCTCTCTTCTCCTAAAACTGGAGAAATAAATACCCCTCACTCCCTGTAACTAGGGCTGCCAGTGTAGTCCAGGCCTGGTGGACTGTGGCCCTCAGGCCAAATCCAGCCAGATGCGTACTTTAGGAGGTGCAGTAAAGTTTTATTGGAAGACAGCCACACCTGTTTGTCTGTGTGCTATCTGTGGCTCCTTTTCAGAGTTGAAGAGTTGTGATAGACTCTGTGACCTGCAAACCCTAACACACTTATTATCTGGCTTTACTGAAAATGTTTGCCACGGCCGGATGTGGTGCCACTTACCTCTAGTCCCAGCTACTCAGAAGGCTGAGGCAGGAGGATCACTTGAGCCCAGGGGTTTGAGGCCAGCCTGGGTAACATAAAAATGTTACCCCATCTCATAAAAAGAAGAAAAAAATACTTCTTGGCCCCTGATGTTATTTATCATCCAAACTAGACGCTTTGGGTAAAAGGGAATGCTGTTAATTATTAAACTGGGGCAAGAGGGGTAAACCAAGGTTGTCTTGAATAAAACAGGGTGTCTGATCACACTTAGAATAGCCTACCAAAGATTGCAAAATAGGAACCCAAATCCATCATCTTTGAAGTCTAAAGGTGAACAGGTTGGCGTGTAGTTCTGAAGAAGGATAGAGAAACGTGTATCTGCTCAAAGGGAACAACATTGCACCTTAATACAATTATCAAAAAAGGATTCAGGAAAATGGATTTTGGATTCTGACTTAGGGATTCTGGGTGAGCCTCCACTTGTGTAGGCCCCAGCTTTTCATCTCCTAGGGAATGTCTCCATATGAATCACTGTGCTAGGGGCTGGGGTATAGAAAAACGAATGCACCCTCTTGGCTTTCCAGTTCTGAAAACGTGAGGAAACAGCTAGGTGACCAAGGAAGAGAAGCTCCAGCGTCATGGCTCCGTGACTCTTGGCCTTCTCAGGAGGATTCACAGGGCTTTCTAAAAGTCCAACAAGAACAATTTTAGAAGAGGAAATTTTTATTTGGGGGCTCACAGTTTCAGAGGTGACTACTCTGTTGGTCTGGGCTGGAGAGGTGGCTGGACATCATGATGGACCAGTGTGGAGGAGCTGTGAGTGTGGACCTTCACCCACCTCATAAGGAAAAGAACACAGTTCCCTCCAGTGGTAGATCCATCATAAACCAGAAGCCCCTTTTAGAGCCTTACTTAGAATCCCTAGTAGAGCCTTTATGGAGATATTGTAGTTTAAGAGAAACAGATGAGACCAGGCATGTAAGGGGCAGAATGAGGTCATCGATGGAACTTTCTGGAGAGAAGAGCATCTGCTCCATCTCAAGGGGGCTGGAGCTCTCAACAGTAGTTGGTTGTTTCCGTGTGAGTCTGAATCCAGAAACTAGAGCATTCACATGAAGTTTTCAGATTTTTATAATATTATATATTTTCATAAAGACAGTAAGGCCAAGCAGAGCAGGTCTGAGGGCCATTTGTGGGTTTGCCAACTTGTAGTTCAGTTTTCTGTGTTTTGGAGTTAAGCAGTGGCTGTCCTTTGTGCTGGTAGGAATGACCTGTGATCTTCCATGGGACAGAGCTTTATCATTAGGAAGCAGTATCCAGACAGCTGGCCAAGCTTAAAGGTGTGTGTGGAGTAGAGCTTTTCCTTGTCATGGGATCACTGACCCAGACAGACATGGGAGTGTCTTCCTTGGCTCCTCAGTAGGGTGATCCAACCCACCCAGGTGGCGCGACCCATCCATCATGAGCAAGGCACTCTAGGTGAAGGTGGACCCTCTTCTGCACGGCCTCAGGGGCACACCCTCTTCTCTCTCGATGCGTCTGCCAAACCATGATGTTTGGACTTGGGAGCCTCTGAGATCTTTGGTTTCCTGTTTTGTCTCTTACAATTTATGCAGTGTCTTCTATGACCATGTTTTGCTCATAATGCAATATTGAGAAATAAGTTAGTTTCAAAAAATCTTAATTGTTGCCTGGATTCCTGCCTCTTAACTCAGGGTATAGAACATAATTTAAACCTTTCTTAATGACTCATGTTATCCAGAGATGTCTCCAGTTTAAAGACAAATGGCTTCTAAGTAATTATTTAATTATTGCTATTTTACAAATAGTTATAATAGGTATTATAATTGTTTTTATGCACATGAACATAGTTTTAAAATGGTGGTGACTTTGACCTTTTTTAGGGAATATATAGAGCAATTTTTTCTTTCTGTTAATAGTCAATAGACTGCTGCACTTTTTGTTTTCTATACCTATGGAAGATTGACTGTGTTTTTTGAGAATATATGCTAATTGTTTTTAAAATTTTTATTCATGCATTACAATTATACATAATAATAGGATTCATTGTTACATGTTCAGACATGCATATGACATAATTGGGTGAATTTCATTCTCTAGTGCCTCCCCTTGACCTCTCCTCCTTCCTCTCTCTGGTCCTCTTCTTCTATTCCCTGGTCTACCTTCTATTTTCATGAGATCCCCACTCTTTTCCCCCCTCTAGCTTCCACATATGAGAAAAAAATACGACCCTTGACTTTTGGAGTCTTGCTTATTTCACTTCATGTAATGCTCTT